AATATGGTAATTCTATTTTTAATTTTGAGAGTAACCACCATACTATTTTCCATATTGGTTGCACTGTTTTACATGTCCCACCAGGAATGCCCAGGGTTCATTTTCTCTTCATCCTGGTGGGTGTCAAGGGATTCCGTTTTATTTATTTATATGTGGTGCTGAGGATCGAACCTAGGGCCTCACACAGGCTAGTGCTCTACCACTGAGCCACAACCCCAGGCCTCAAGGGATTCTTACCCATTGTAGTTTTGATTTACATTTGTCTAATGATTAGTGATTTGATTATCTTTTTTTAGGCTTTGCCATTTGTATATCTTCTTTGAAGAAATATCTATTCAAGTCCTTTGCCCGTTTTCCAATTGAGTTATTTGGTTTTGTTGCTTTATTTGTTGAGTTATAGGAGTTCTTTATGTATTCTGGACATTAACCCCTTATTGAATACATGATTTGCCAACATTTATTCAAATTCTTTAGATTGTCTTTCACTCTGTAGATTGTTTGTTTTGAAGTGCAGAAGTTTCTCAGTGTGATATAATCCCATTTCTCTACTTTTGCATTTGTTGTCCATGCTTTTTGTGTCATATCCAAGAAATCATTGCCAAATCTAATGCCTTAAAGCTTTTCATGTGTTTTTTTCCTAGGATTTTATAACTTTAGGTCTCAGGTTGATTTTTAATCTACTTTGACTTAATTTTTGTAATTGGTATAAGTCGAGGATTATTCATTTGCACATGAATACCAGTTTTCCCATCATTATTTGTTGAATATATTGTCATTTCCCTATTGTTGTAGTCTTGGCCCCTGAGGGTTTATTTCTGAGGTATTTATTCTGTTCCCCTGGTCTATATTTATATCTTTATTCCAGTAACACACTGTCTTAATTACTGTTGCCTTGTATTATGCTTTTTAAAACAATATTTAGTTTTTAGTTAGACACAATATCTTTATTTTATTTATTTTTATGTGGTGCTGAGGATCAAACCCAGGGCCCCACACGCGCTAGGCAAGCGCTCGGCAAGCGCTCCACCACTGAGCCACAACCCCTGCCCTTGTATTATGCTTCTTAAAAAATTTTTATTGATACATAATTGTATATCTTTATGGGCTATAGATGATTTATACATTGTATATTATTATTCAACTAGGATACTTAGTTATTCATCTCAAACATTTATCATTTTGTATTAAGATTAAAAATCCTAGCCATTTGGGATTGTATGGTACAATATTGTTAACTATAATTACTCTCTGTACAATAAGACACCAACACTTATTCTTCTGTCTGGCTATACTTTGTATCTATTAGGTAGAACTCCATCTCCTCCTCCCAGCCTCTGGTAGCTACTCTTCTGGTCACTAGTTTTATAAGCTTGGCCATTTTAGGTCCTGCAGATGAGTGAAGTCATGTGGTATTTGTCTTTCTGTGTCTGGTTTATTCCACTTAACATTATGATCTCCAGTTCTATCCATGTTGTTGCAAATGACAGGATTTTGTACTTTCTATAGCTAAATAGTGTTATATGGTATACACAGTATATTTATTTTTATGTGGTGCTGAGGATCAAACCCAGAGCCTAACATATGCAAGGCAAACGCTCTTACCACTGAGCTACAGTCCCAGCCCTTGTCTTTTTGATTATAGTTATTCTAAATGGAGTTAGATGATATCTCATTGTGGTTTTGATTTGCATTTACCTGATGATTAGTGATATAGAACATTTTTTCATATACTGGTTGACCATTTATATATCTTCTTTTGACAAGTGTCTATTCAAATTATTTGCCCATTTTTAAATCAGATTCTTTTTGCTGTTTCTTTTTCTTTTTTTTTGGGGGGGGGTGGTTGCTTGTATGTTTTGGATATTAATACCTTGTCAGACAGTTTGCAAATATTTTGTCTCTTCACTGTTGACCATTTCCTTTGCTGTGCAAGAAGAGTTTTAGTTTGAAGTAATCCTGTTTGTCCTTTTTTAAAAAACATTTTTAGTTGTAGATGGACACAATACCTTTATTTAATTTATTTGTATGTGGTACTGAGGATTGAACTCAGTGCCTCACCTGTGCTAGGCAAGTGCTCTACCACTGAACCACAACCCCAGCCCTATTTGTTTTTTATCTTGTATTACCATATTGTATCATGTTTTGAAATTAACAATTAAAGGTCTTCAACTTTGTCTTCTTTTCAAGATAGCTTTGACTATTTGAGCTCCCATATGAATTTTTCTTTTTTTCCTTCTGGTACCAGGGATTGAACCCAGGGAAAATTAACCACTAATCCACATCTCTAACCCTTTTTATTCTTATTTTGAAGAGGCCCTCACTAAGTTGCCCCAGCTGGCCTTGAAGTTGCAGTCCTCCTGCCACTCAACCTCCCGAGTTGCTGGGGTTACAGGGATGCATCACTACACCCAGTAGACCCCCTCCTTTTTTTTTAAAAAAAAAAAAAGAGAGGAGGTTTCATTATATTGCCCAGGTTGGCCCTTAACTCTTGGGCTCAAGCAGTCTTCCTGACTCAGCCTCCTGAGTAGCTGGAACTACAGGCATGTGCCACCTTGCCTGGCTTAAACAACTAATTTTTATGTGTTCGTTTAGTAAAGTTGCTTATTATACACTTTTTTTTTTTTTTGCATAGAATCTTTAATTTTTTTTTACATTTAAGATCATGTCCTCTGCAAACAGGTAATTTTATTTCTTCATTTCTTTTTCTTATTTAATTATGGTGGCTTAGAATTCTAGTCCTGTGTTGAATAGAAGTGACAGGAGAGCACAACCCTGTCTTAATCTTGATCTCGGAGGAAATCTTAAAAGTCTTTTTTTATTGAACATATTGGTTTTGAGCTTTTCAGGTATGGCTTTCATTTTGTAGATATAGTTTCCTTCTATTCCTAGTTTGTTGAGTGTTTTTAGCATGACGATGCATTGAAGTTTGTCAAATGGTTTTTCTTTATCAATTGAGATAATCATATGCTTTTCTTTATTTATTTCTTATTTATTCTAGTACAATAGTGTGTTTTTTTTTTCAATAGTGTGTTAAATTGATGGTGGAACCATCCTTGAATCCCACTTGCTAATGATGTGTAGTTATTTTAATGCTCTGTTGAATTTGGTTTGCTATTTTGTTCAGGATTTTTACATCAGTATTGATCAAGGATATTGGTCTATAGTTTTCTTGTATATTTGTCTGGCTTTAGTATCAGAGTGAGGCTGTCCTCAGAATGAGTATGGCAGTGTTCCCTTCCATACTTTGAAGAAATCTGAGAAGCACTGATATCAATTCTTATCAGTATTTAGTAGAATTCTTTGGTGAAGCCATCAGGCTTTGTACTTCTTTTGGAAGGTTTTTGATTACTTCTTCAATCTCCTTGTTATAAAATTATAGGACTGTTTAGAGTTTTTATGTCTTTAGGAGTAAGTCTTATTAGGTTATATTTCTAGAAATTTGTCTTCTGGATTATCTAGTTTGCTTATAATTGTTCATAGTATTCTCTTAAAATCCTTTTTGTGACATCAGTTGTAATGTTCCCTCTTTGATTTTATTTTTTTTTGAATTTTTTTTCTTGGTTAACCTAGCTAAGGGTTTGCCAATTTTGTTGATCTTTTTAAAAAACATCTCTTAGTTTACCTGATTTTTTTTCCTGTTGTTTTTATTTATTTCTGTGCTCAACTTTGTTTTCTTTCTTTCTTCTGCTAACTTTGGGTTTAGTTTGTTCTGTTTCTGAGTCTTGGAATTACAGGCTTAAGTTATTGATTTGAGATATTTCTCTTCCTTTATTTTGGTGGGTTGAACCTAGGGCCTCATGCATGCTAGGCAAGCACTCTACTACTGAACTCTATCCCCAGCCCTGTTTTTTTTTTTTTTTTTTTGAGAATTTATTTAAAATATTTATTTATTTTTTTAGTTTTTGGCGGACACAACATCTTTGTTTATATGTGATGCTGAGGATTGAACCCGGGCCGCACGCATGCCAGGCAAGCATGCTACCGCTTGAGCCACATCCCCAGCCCTGTTTTTGTTTTTTAATATAAGCATTTATCTCTTAGTATTGTTTTCACTGCATGCATAAATTTTGTATGTTGTGTTGTCATTTTCATTTGTCTTCAATGTTTTGTAATTTCTCTTGTGATTTATTCTTTGAGACCTAAATGTATTTTTTTTTTTTTTTTGTACCAGGGATTGAACTCAAGGGCACCCAGCCACTGAACCACATCCCCAGCCCTATTTTGTAATTTATTTAGAGACAGGGTCTCACTGAGTTGCTTAGTGCCTTGCTTTTGCTAAGGCTGGCTTTGAATTTGTGATCCTCCTGCCTCAGGCTCCTGAGCCACTGGGATTACAGGAGTGCATGTATTTTTTTTAATTTTAAAGTTGTATGAACTGTGATAGCAAAAAAAAAAAAAAATTGTATGGCATATAAAATGGTCTTAAGTTCAGATGTCAGGGGAATGTAATAGGGAAAGTGGCAGATCTTGTTAAAGCAAGAAATAACCTAGTTTATAGATTTCTTATTTTCAGGACTTTTCTTTGGATATGCTTATAAGAAAAAAGTACATTGATCTAGGAACAGTGAGCAAGGAAGGTACCATTTTTTTTAATATTTATTTTTTAGTATTAGATGGACACAGTATATATATATTTATTTATTTTACATTTTTTATATGGTGCTGAGGATTGAACCCAGAGCCTCGTGCATGCTAGATGAGCACTCTACCACTGAGCCACAACCTCAGCTGGAAGGTACCATTTTGATAGTCACTTGGTTACTATCCTCTGAGCATAATTAACTCTGCTCAGTACCAGAAGTTCAAAGTTGAGGAAGACCTCATGTTTTCTGAGTTTCAGACTTGTAGGAGGATGAGATAAGATTGGTGAGAAGAAACTTGTCATTAAAAGAGAAAACTAGCATTTATTACAATGCCATCTTTACCCGCTGCCCAATTGTACTGTGAGTTATTTCAACACTAATTTTTTACAAAGTACTGTTGTTTTTCCCCTCATCTAGGCACAACACTATCACTGGACGATGGCTGACCCGGTTCCAAGCCGTGTGGGACCCTAAACAAGAAGATTGTATCTTAGTTGGCAGCATGGCCCATCCACGACGAGTGGAAATCTTCCATGAGACAGGAAAGAGGGTGCATTCTTTTCTTGGAGAATGTCTTGCCTCTGTGTGTTCCATCAATGTCATGCACCCAACTCGGTATATTCTGGCTGGAGGTAATTCCAGTGGGAAGTTACATGTTTTTATGAATTAAGAAAGCTACTTAGTTTCTAGGTAGGTATACCTATTTGTTCAAATTCATCACTGTCTAAGAAACCTAATGATACACATAGCTTAGTGTGTTTACTTGGTGTTATATTTATAAAATATAAAATTGCTTTATTAATAAGAACTATGAGCAGAATATACTAAATTTAGTAAGGGAGAAGCCTCAGAAGATGCTTCTCAGGCATGGAGAGGGAATTTGAGTAGAGGCTGAGATGCTTTTAGCACTTTTAATCAGGCAGTATGTTGAGAAAGTCTAACAAGATAAATTATAAAGCTTGAATGATCAGTATTAACTTTTTGTTATATAATGATAGTAATTTTTAGTCTACAATGATATATAGATTTGTGGTTTATTTTCTAAGTTTGTAGTGAATGTTTATTTTTAGGCTTATATGCTGGAAGGAGTCCTGAAAGGTCTTCTAACTCAATGATTTTGAAACTTAGTTTTTAAAAACAAGAACTTTTTTTTTTTTTTTTTTTTTTTTTTGCACCTGCCTCTCAGTTAAATTTTATATAAGCCGGGCATGGGGGCGCACGTGTATAATCCCAGCAGTTTGGGAGGCTGAGACAGGAGAATCACAAGTTCAAAGCCAGCCTCAGCAAAAGCAAGGTGCTAAGCAACTCAGTGAGACCCTGCTTTCTAAATAAAATATAAAATAGGGCTAGGGATGTGGTTTGGTGTTCAGATGCCCCTGAGTTCAATTCCTGATACCCCACCCCCCAAAAAAAATTTATATGAAATGCCAAGAAAATTGCTAAGAACAATTTAGTCTGGGTATGTGGAGCCTTGCTTTTCCTCTTCCTCTGAACGGCTTCTGAGACACAGCCAAGGAGGATAGTCTAGGAGAGGGATCTGAGAAATATAGGGATCTGCCATAATACCTATATTCCAATGTAAGACTAGGAATTATAGCTCTTGATAGGAAGTCTGTTTAATGGTCAGAGGTTAGAAGTAGTGTTTAAAAAAAAAGGAAGAATTACTTAAGAACAGAAAACATAATAAGAATAAATATTGTTTTATAAAACTTAGTTAATATGCATATATATGTAGGTTTATGTTTATGTATATACTGATGTAAAAATTTTTTAATTAGAAGTGAATGCTACTGCCTTAGTATGTCCCAGATGCCCTAGTCTGTCTGTCTTTAAGCTCTTCAGATTTAATAGTCTGAATAACTTTAATTTCTCTTCATATTTTGGGACATATCATACTACTTTTTTTTTTTTTTTTAAGAAATTGTTTTCTCAGAAGTTAATGGTAATTTCAATGGGCCTGCTGTTGGGAAGAGGGGTTGCTAAATCAGTTACTAATATTACTGTGTAACATCTATTCAGCTTTTTCCATTGTTCTTCATTGCCAAAGTACTACTGAAAGACTTGTAACTAAAAGCTTAGACAATATGTTTGAATTATAAGAATTAGGAAATATTATCTTCTCATAATTGTATAGCAAAGAAATAAAGTGAGTATTTTCCTTGAACATTTTTTTCTAAGTAATTTTCTCTGTAATTAAATTTAAGTGTTCTGAGACTTAGTTTATTAATAGGTTATGGGTGTTTATAAAGAATGGGAGTTGTGTTTTCTGGGTGTTATGATACAAGCATTGGTAAGTGTGATGGAAACATTAATTTGCAAAATGGAAAGTAAAGCTAAATGAGGTTGAATTATGTCTGAACTGTTTAGGAAAACAGTAAAGGAAGGCTTTAAGCTTCCTTTCCCTTTTTCTATACCAATTAATTTCATAGTTTCCAGAGTGGTTAGTTCTGTGGGAATTGTTCGTTTTAAGATGCTGAAAACTACTCTTGATCAAATTAGTACCATCATTTAAGCTTTGAATACTTGGTAGTAATGGGGGGGGGGTCTCTGCAATAAACACAAGAAAATTCCTGACTTTTGTGGTTTCCTTTGCCATTGCAGCATCATAAACTGCTATTTATATCCAGTTTCACTTAGTAGAGTTATACCTTCTTGAGGCAATGCAGGAAGGACGGAGAATGAGTAGGCACTTGTTTCTTGGTCATAAGCTTTATAACAGAGTAATTGTGTACATCTAGACAGCACATAAAGAAAAACTGCCTCCCTTAGGACATTCTTAAACTGTAATCTGTAATGTAATTTCTTGAGTCTGGTTTACAGCTGTGTGGCTTCTGTAATTATATGTGTATTATGGTTGCTCCTTTCCTTTGGGATAAACTTTTGCTGTCAGTTTGACCTTTTGGATTTCTCCTAAACTCATAAGCTCTGAATTCCCGTGGAGCTGTTTTCTTTGAGGTGACCTGCCTTTTTGCTGTTAAGGAGTTGTTCTCGTATTGAGTAGACAGAGATTTGGTCAGATTAGGAGTGACCACAGATGATTCGAAATGAACAGAATCTGAATTGCTTCAGTCCTATTTTAGTATTCTGGTCTTTGAATTTCCTTTTCACAGAGAAGATTTGGTGAAGGAAGTTCTTCAGAAAAGCAGCAAGCTTCAGGCTGTGGATACAAAGATTTAATTCCTTCAGCCAGCAAACAGCCATACTAGGTAATCCTGAGAAAACTACTTAAGCTTCATGGTTTTCATTACCAGAACAAGGTCCAATTCACCTCAAATTATTCCACATTTAAAGTTTTTCAGTTTCTAGTCATTTATTCTGGGATGGGGGGACAATGAGACTTGATGGATATATGTTATTTTGTATGATCCAATTGTGAATAGCAGTCAGCTATGTAAATCCTACTGGTAGTATCCTTTTATCTATGTGTTAGTAACTTTTGATACTGTGAGATGGTATATAAGTTAAAAAACAAAGAGCCCACTTTTTCATGGTATTTAAATATTTATTTTAAGTTTAAAAATAATTTTCATGGCACCAATGATTTTATGCTAACTACATACTGCATATGTAGAAAAAAAGTACATTGCTTTGAAGGAAAATGTAACTCAAGTTTTTGGCACATGAAAGGTTAACAACTATTTTTAAGTGAAACTAAGAAATTCACATTTGCAGGTAGTTTACCCTCTACTGCTTAAAGATGCAGTTCGCTATTCTTCAGAAAGTTATTTCCTCCGAAAGATGATGCTATGGAAACCATTGATTTTTCTACAGTGAGATAAAATGAGAGACATAGTAGAACTCGAAAAACCAGATAAAAAACTTGAACAGTTTTTAATGGTGGGGAGATATCAAAAAAGACTAGTTACCAACAAAGGAAGTTTGTTATTCAAGCACAATTTGAAAAGCAAATTGAAGGAAACTTTTCTATCCATATTTTCTGGGAAAAGCCTTAACAAATCTCAAAAGTTTCTGTTCAGCTGCTAGAAATGGTATGGACTACTGCACTGTTAGAATTCTAGACACAAGTTAACACACCAGGCAATGGGATACTGTATCTCTCTAGTGTGGATGTGAAAGGTCCGAGGCAAGGCTCTCACTCACTGCATAGAGACACCGTGTTCTACAGACTGAGGTAGGAGCACTACACTAGAAGGTAATCTATGTTGCATAAGACAGTAGATATCCAGGTTAACACCAGCTCCCTGTCTCCTGACAGCCTTTTCATTTCTGGGTCTACTTTTCACTTTAGTCCTGTGCTAAATAAAGCCTTTGCTATGTAGATGACAAGTGGCAGTGGCTAGTTGGTTTAAGTGAATCTTTATTAGGATCTCCCTCACTTTGTCTCATCACTTGGTAACTATGTTTGTGATTCTGCCCAAATTGTTGCTGGTATGAAAATGATCAGATAGGCCCACTTCCATTTTTTGATTTGCCATGTTTTAGCATTCCAGTTCTTGATCTTGCTCATCTTGGCTCCAGACATCTCTGCTGGTTTGTTGTTCAAGCACCCTGTAAACAAGCAACCCTAGTGTTTCCACTGGGAAAAGGCCTAGGTCTTTCACACATGCCAGGAATTGGAGAAGAGCTGACCCTCTTCTGCTCCATAATGGTCAGTTTTATTGTCTAGATCAGGGTTGGCATATTATGGCCCATGGACCAAAATAAGCATACTGTCTTGTTTTTATAGTAGTATTGGAACACGGATATGCTCCTTCATGCACACATAATCCATATTTTTGTACTGTGATGGCAGAGTTGAGTAATTGTGACAGAACCAAAAAAAAGTTTACTGTCTTTACTTTTCAGAAGTTTCCTGAACTGTGGTCTAGATGAAAAAAGTATCTATCTTTAAAATTAGACAAATCCACTCTCCCCCCTCACCCCTTAGAGCCCTGATTTTTTCATGGCTGTTATATTCTGAACATGGAACTGGTTCTATCATTTCAGGGTACAAAACAGGAGAGATCAAATCAATAAATGACTCTCTCTGTTCTGCTTTTGGGACTGTCCAACATCATACTGTATTGGCAGCTGTGTTGGCATATTGTGTAGGTCCCAGGAATATGACCACTGATTATGCTCACATAAGTCCTCAGGCCCCAGATGACTTAGAAATCTCTCCCTGAGATGAGGACAAGATCTTGTGTGTGATGGTTTTAAGAGTTGCAGAGCTCGGGCCTAGCGACTCACACTCACCCTCTGTGGACCTGTGCTTCTGTGAGCATTCAGGGCTTTCCTCAGCAAGGATAAGTACCTTTTTGGAACTTATTTCTTGATGTGGAGGATGACCCTAGGGGGCAGCATTTCTACATCTAAGTGTTGGTCTCTGCCAAGTTCACCTTCTGTCTTTTGTAAGCATCTCTTAGAAATCTTATTTTAAAAGATTCTTTTCCTTGTCCTTTCCAAGGCTGTTTGTTGATCTTGGAATTCTATTTTCTGACGTTTTGCATTCTCAGGATCAGTTTCTTTCTTGCATCGTTTAGTTCATCAGGTTCTATTTTCTTAATCCATAAAGTAAAAACAAAATATGAATAGTTAAGAAAATAACATTTTGCTGTTAAAATATAAATCGAAAGTCTTTTTTTGGGAGGGTTACACTATGTACAAAATAAGCACTGTTTTCTGCATTTCAGCAGTCTCTTGGGTAACTTAGCTCTTGTGTATATAACTACATTTTGTCCAACATTTCTGACAGTACTCTCTCTGGCGTCACTGAAGTCATTTAATGCCCCTGGAAAACTAGAAAAGTTTTGAGGTTCTTCAGGAAAAAAAATCATAGATGTCTTAGTTCATTATACAGAACTCATCGAGATGCCCATCAGGCTCTAGTCTAAGGGGACAGACTTACCCCACCCCTGCTGTGCTGCTGCTGTACCGGTGGTCCCTTCAGATGCCCACTCTGCTCAGATTTGGGAAAAAAAAAAAAAAGGAAAAGAAAATCCAACTCAGACCATCATAAGAAGCAACTTTCCATTTAATCATTCTACATGGATGTTTACTTTTTAAAAAGTTTTGTCTGGCAAGAAAATCTAAACAGTCCCCATTGTCCAGACCCCTGGCCTGCCCTGCTGAGGCTGCAGTGATGTCTCCCAGAACCTGGTGGCACCAGTAGAAAAATAACCTGCAGAATAAGAGGACAACAACAGCTCTCTTGTCTTCAACTAGCATCCCATCTGCTAGGTGACACTACTGCAGTAATCAGTAATAGTAAAATAAATTATTTTTATTTGATACTTTCAAAATAATACACATCTATGAAAAATCAAAATTCAAAACCAAAAATTATCCTGCAAAATTGAAAGATGAGAAAGAGTTGCTGAGCCTTTCTTGAAAGAACCTCTGAAGAAAATGAGTTTTCCCAGTTTGTTTAGACAGGGCGTGAGCCTATCCCTTTCTTCTGGGAAATAACCCTCCTAGGCTGCAGTGGACTTTGAGTCATGAAAGGAGGACTTGATATGTGTGCCGATGGTTCCACGATGGGTCCCATTGCTGGGAATGGGTAGCCGGGCTCCTTGGTCCACCTGGCTAGTTATTGGGAGGAGTCATGCCTTCTCAGGTGTCAATGAGCAGGCTCACCATTGAGCGGATTTTGCAGGCAAACCATCGCCTGAGGGGACAAAAGTATTGATAGTGGAATTGTTCAAACTCGGGGGTCTGGCGGATATCGCGGAAAAAGGCAATGTCAAGGTCAGACTCGGTAAGGATGATCAGGAGGAGGAGCAAAACAAAGAGGAGTCCCATGGTCACAAGGAGCAAACGGAGGACACTTAAAACAAACTTATTCACCTGTTCCTCCTCTGGCCCGCCGTGCCCCTGACACAGGGCCCTCAGCTCTCCTCCAAGGGCCTCCACCTCTGCAGCAGATGGGGTGCTGGCCTCAGACTCCTTCTCCTCCTCAATGCTGCAGGTGGCTCCGTTGATCTGCCGGGAAAGCAGCATCAGCTCCAGACTGTGCTCGGCCACAGGGGTGGGCAGCACGCTGTCTGCAGGGCTGTAGGCCTCATCTGCAATCACAGCTACTCGCTCGTTGCTGTCTGCTCGGCTGCTTCTCACGTGAGGCAGAAAGGTGTCTCCGTGGGAAGAAGAACGCACCGGGGTGGAATGGGCACTGTCCCGTAGGGACTCGAGGCCTGGAAAGGCAACAAGAACATGAATAGGCTTTCTGGATCCCAGTGTATACTTGTTTGATTGGATGCACAACCCAGTAGTAGTAGCAGTGGCTACTACGTTGTTTTGACATAGCAAGAAGAGGACAAAAGCAGCAGCAAAAACACAGTGGCCATTTTGGAAGATTTTTCTTTTTGCTCATAGATTTGACTCATTTGTTTAAGATTCTGCTTTTCCTGCCTTGAATTTCTTGGGCCTGGTGTTAGCCCCAGTTAGAGGATCTGAATTTCATTTATATTGCCCCTGATACAGCACTGAGGCCAGGGTTCAGAAATCTGAAGGCTGCCTTTTGGGTGGAGAATCCTCAGAGGCAAGAATGGGGAAGGGAGGAGGAGAATGTATTCTGCCTACTTGGGCTTCCTTAAATACTAATTGCTAAATACTGTTTATCCTTGTTAACAACCCAGCATGCAAGGTCTTGAGCTCATGAGGCATTTATTAGGAATACTGCTCTTCTGACCCCTAAAACTACTCATTATCTTTTTTCTCTGATGGAAAATTTCTCTCCTTCCAAGGTTCCCCCAGGGCTGTTTCTCTGGCAGGAAAAAAACAGGAACTGATTATACCCTCAACTGAATAGCAGCCACCCAGGCCAGAGCCTTCAGGCTCACATTCACCACATATGAACCACATCAAAGTGTTCCCAAAAAGTGGCTTCTTGTTTCAGGCATGGTGACCTTGCATCTTCCATTCCAGGTCATCTCAGTAGTGCCAAATTAGCTCTCCTGGATTTTGTGGCCTATGACAAGAAAAGCGAATCCCCTTCTGTTGCTCTGAATAGACCCTGATGCATGCACCAGGTTGACAGACTGAATCAGGTTCCCAGCACACCAGGGCTGATTAGGCAGTTGTCTGGTTTAGGATTAGCTCTAGAAGCCCAAAGGTCTCTCTTAAAAAGGTGTCAATAACCTTTGCACAGAGTGGCTCCGCTTCCTGGACTCCCTCATAACAGGTAGTCCACCTGACTAGCTTGGTGGATCCCTTCTCAGCACGGGTGCAGTTAAGGATTCTCCAGAGGAAGGAGTCCTGGAATTGGTTCTGAGTAGGGGTGGAAGGTGAGGATGACATTTTTCTTCCCTTTCCCTCACCATTTGCCATGGCTCTCAACTTTTGCTTTCAGAATCTCCTTATGTTCCAGCAGTATGTCATTCATCCTTATGCTAAAATCTTAAATTTATATGTTTTAAACTTTTAAAGCACTTTGGTTTTGTCTTTCAAAAACTCCATGAATTAGAGTGAAATGTTACAAAATTTTCCTGAAGTCATGTGGTTGGTTGCTAATGGCAAACCGAGGGTGGAATCTAAGCCTCTATTTCAAGGTGTTACTGATCATGTAGTTGGATTCCGGGGGAATTAACACCTGCCTTAGAGACCTAGGTCTTTTTTTTTTTTTTAATTATTATTGCTATTCTTTTTAAAAAATATTTATTTTTTAGTTGTAGTTGGACACAATACTTTTATTTATCTTTATATGGTGCTGAGGATCGAACCCAGGGCCTCGCACATGCTAGGCAAGTGTTCTACCACTGAGCTACATACAACCCCAGCCCCAAGATTTACGTCTTAACTGTACAAGAAACTGTTAGAAAAGGACATGAAATAAAGAGCCCTGTCCCTTCTTCCAGAGCTCTTGATGCTCCTTTGACCTTTATTATATACCCAATATTCTTCTTTGATGCCCCCATTGGCACATGCTACAACAGAAATATGTATCTTGGAGTGTGTCATGGGTCACTGATAAAAAGAAACATCAAGGCCCTGGTAGTATGTTGCTGGCTTGGCTTTTTTCCCAAGCACTCCTTTGTCTCCTTTCTCTGCAACCTCAGCACAGGGCACTGATACCCTCTCAAAGGCCTGCCCTCTAACAAGGACAACTCCAACTGCCAGATCTTCCAAAGCATGACTAGCATTGCTGCCAGTAAACACTTCAATGCAAACTTAGCTTGGCCTACAATTAAGCTCTAAGCTGGTTGGGGAAGGACAGAGGCAGACATTGTGACATCAGAGAACAAGTCAGAGAGTCATCAGAAGCCATATTATATTGAGTTAGTGGTGCTCTCAGTAAATATAGATAAAAGGTATACATTTCCAGTAGACTTCCTGGCCACTATGAGTGCTCAGGAAATAATCTTCTCCCCCAACAGATCTCACCTCTAAGGTTGTTATTCCATGTCAGGTTAGTCCTGAACAAGAATTTCAGTTTTCACTATTATAGAAACCACCACCCATCCAGCCCTTCATCAAACTTATTAGACTGGAGTGTGTGGGGTGGGTGCTGTGGGAAGGATCTAGGCTAAGGGTGGCACAGCAAAACAGGAGTGCGTCTTTTACCTTGGAGTTGCTTCAGCTGACTCCCCTGCCCAGAAGTGGCTCCCAATGAGCTGGGGGTCACAGTTGTCAGGACCCTACCCTGGAGCCGGGGCCCCATCCTCAGGATGCGCACGCTTAAGGGCCGAAGGCAGTGATTAGTCAACCGGAGCTGAACGCTGACTCTGGTGTGAATCTTAATCAGACTCTTCCCCATGGTGGATACTTCTTTAGTGGAAACCAGTTGATCTCTTCAGGGAAACCAGCCAGGCAGGGGAGATACAGAGAGGAAAAGGACGGAAAGCCAACTAGGGACAAAGCATTTTCACTGATCCCATGCCACAGCAGCCCCTTAGCAGTGTGTGTCCTCTGTGGAGAGAGAAGTCTGTTCCCTGAGCTTCATCAGGCTGAACTGCAAGGAAGGAGCAGCTTGGAGAGGCCAACGTTATCAGGGCACTGGATTTAGTACTCAGCAGCACTTAGAGCCATAAAAAGTAATGCTTCCCAGCCTGTAGTTCTTTGCCTGAGGCCCATTTAAGGGCCAACCTCTCAGAGGATGAGGGACAGCAGAGGGCAAGGACCAATCCCAGAGGGTAGGGGAATCAAGATTTTGCCAGGAAATCTAGGATGTACCGACAAAAAGACATTAGGTTTATCCAGGCTACTTGAGTGCAATGAAGTCATGCACTAGCTTTGGGCTTGATGGCTCTGAAGTGTGGGAAGGTGACTCTGGGGCTGGTAAAGGAATGTGTCCCATCTTCTGTTTGCTTCCTGCTGAGTGGTGCCCCAAAGGGCACAATGGATGAAGGGAATCAGCATACTTGAGCCTCATCTCAGTGTCAGTCCTGTGTTGATAAAAGGACTGTTTTTTCTTTTTAAAGGGCCCCTCTTTATTGAGATTAACATAGAATTAGTTTAAAGTAAACCTTATAATGTTTTTGTAATTTTCTTCCATGGCTTTTGGAGATAGCAAGTAAAGCTCCTCCTCTGGAAAAGTCAAATGATTTCTGAGGTACTAATTTATGTGCTCTATGGACTCTAAAAGTGTCGGATGGCTCATGCACCAGTTTCACATGTCCAAGAGTAAGTTCCCTGGGGTTTTGGTTGATTGTGCCCTTCTTCCCAGGCTCTCATTACATCCCTCAAGGCTTCTCCCTGCCCTGGCTGGGTTGAAATATTTTTTATTTCCATAGGCTTGGTAGTCCTGCACTGATAGTCATTTAACTGCTAAAGTCATATTTTTTCCACATCCAGATGAGATATCCACCTTCTTCTACCTTGTCTCCCCATTAGGCTGGTAAGGGTCATTCCTACACAGCTGTTCCTACCTACCCAACCTGAGCCAATGAGTCCTATGAGGTGCATGACAAGGAATATAGGCTATGCTTGTCTGCTGGCACCCTTGGGTATGGAGTGTGAGGAGCAGGTTGGTTTGGTGAGTACCATGTGGGAGGCTGCTGAGCCATAATCTGCCAACTGAGAAGTTCTATGAGGAGCAATTTTGAGGAAGTACCCTGGCCCTTTGGGTTTTGTCCTCCTTAGCAAGTCCTCCCAACTGCACCTCCCCTGGCATTTTGTAAGCAAGGGTGAAGAAATTGGAGAAGGAACCTATGGCTGCAATAGGAGAAAACAGGATCTGTTTCAAAGGGGAAGAAATTCACTTCCCTGAGATATATACTTCTGAGAAGAGGGACAGCAAGAGCTATGCTCCATTTTTTAGCTCAGCCTAAGATGGAGGGGGTGGGGAGACATAGGAGGCTATGTTGATGTTGGTCACATCTCCATAACTCCACAACATGCTTGGCAGTTCACAAGGCACTCTCCCACACCCTGCTCCATTCCACAGTGTGGGTGACAGGCTAAGAAGCCACTTGCCCCAGAAAGTGCATCGCTGAGCTTCTGTTCAAACCTCCATGTTGATTCCTGCTTAGGGCTTGGCACTGTGCTTGCTGCCTGCCTTACTTAGGAAGTGCTTTACAGTACTCTTAAAAGTACTTTGTATATATCAATTCCTTTGCCACCCAAGGGACAGGCAAGGAAAATGTCCCTGTTTTATAAATAGCACAACTAAGATAATTGTAATTAATATACAAATAATTAACTTGATGGTGGTCATCTAGCCAGGTTTCTCAGTTTCTGGGATGGAGTTACATACCACAGGCAGGTGATTCATACTTAGGTGATCTTATGACACATCCTAAAAAACTAAATACGAACTAGAGATCCTCCCAGGGGACTAGCAGAGCAACACTTTCCTAACCTGAGCAGTTTTTCATTTCAGTAACAAGCAACATTCCCACAGAAAGGGCATAGGGCCTTCCCTCTCCAACTTCTACTCCATAATTCCAGGACAGAGAGGTTTGAAGCAGTCTTGCTGTTTGCCATCCTCTGAGGTTTTATAAAACATCATCTTTGAGAATGATAGTCAAATTTTACATCCAGCCTGTGAATAATGAGCCAGGTCCATGGCAACAGCTAGAGGGCAATATTCTGAGGACATCTCCTAACTGAAGTGACTACCTAGAGAACAGAACAGAGGTTGGCCTCAGATACCAGGGTGCCTAGTTCAGCAGATACACAGAATTTCTCTTCTCACCTCCCCCAAAGGGAGGGAGGAGAGAGGCAGAGCATACTGACTTCCTGAGACAGCAGTAAGTTCACATAGCAATAGCACAGATTTCTATAACTGAAAGATAAGGTGGTGGCAGCTATTGGAAGAACCAAGTTTTTATTTCTTGGTTAACTGTCTCATTCATCCTAATAATACAAGCTGTGGAGACTGGTCAGATCTAGGAAATGAAGGGAAGGCCTCTTGACAAAGCCATTCTCAGAACTGCATGGCACCTGGCAAACTCCACATACAAATCTCCCAAAGGGTTAACCCCATCCACTCAGATCTACACCCCATCCTGGATCATAGTACACAGGCCTGGTAAGACGCCCCCTTATCCTGTATCCAGCTGGTGTTCCCATCCTCTGGGTAACAACTTATAACCTGCTGCTGGGCTCTTTCTTCCACGAAACCTACTGTTGTCTCAAATGCAAATTAGCTTCTTTTTCAAGGGTCCTGAACTTGGCCAAGTCACAACACGGAGGGACTCAATATCATCTCCAGGAGCTCAGGCTCACCTTCCATGATGGAGATGTGAACAGCTCTTCTGCGGGTCCTGGGGACACTGCTCAGCCGTGGGCCATGGGTTATAGAAGGACAGCTCCGGCTGGGAACCATCCCTGCTCTGAGGTAAAAGAAAAAGAGAAACCTTTTCACTCAGTGAACAGACAGATGTAGGTGTGAGCTACTAGAATGCTTGCCTGTATTAGGTTTGGGTTCTTTTTATTTTTTTTAATGTAATGCTGGGAATCAAACCCAGGGTCTCACACATGGCAGGTAAGCACTGAGCCACATCCTGAGCCCCTGGATCCTTTAAAAAAAAAAAAAAATCTTTAGTACCTTCTCTTTGCTCTTGGCCCTTGGATCCCAATAAGAGACTCTGCTTCAAACTCTACCACCTCCTTATACCCCAGACTCACCTAAACCTTTCTTTAATGGGGCAGGAGTGGTCCTGGACTGGACTGTCAGGGAATAGAGCCCCAGGATGAGCAGTACTCCTGAGAATGTACCTGAAGACCAACACTGGTAGCCTCCCCTGACTTCCCCCAGAGGCTGCTGCATGGGCGCTGTATGTGGAGGGGCAGGCAGCAGTGTTCCCATTCCCAGAGGCAAAGGCTGGCCCCAGATCCTAGTGTTCTAGGCTAATCACATTCTTTCTGGGTCTTACCCATTTCTAGGAGATAGGCTACTGGAAATGCATGAATTATGGATATACATGAGGCATGTATCCTGAAACTATTTTAGACCCAGAGTGGCAGGGCTGTGAGGCTATCTCTGGCTTCCTGTAATGGATGGATTCCAGAACCAATGAAATATTGCTGCTTTGTCATATCCTCCTTGGTCTGTGATCAATATCAAGATTTGGGAGAAGAGAAGAGAATCACAGGGAGGTAGCACCTAGGTCTGCATATTATTCGCAAGTAGCCTGGCCCACTCTTGTTTTTTATCATGGGTTAAAGACTTCTCATTCCTCCAGCTGGGACAAATTTCTTCACCCTTCTGCCCTACTCTCCTGCCTCTTTTGGTGGCCACTGTGACCAGGAGCTTCACTGAACTCAAACTACTAGGTCTTTTGAGATTCTGGGATCTGAGTTGGAATGGTTTGGGGGGAGCTCCTGGCAACCTACCTGTGTATTTCCGGTGGCTCTCGTTTGATCTTGGCACTCGATTCCATTACTTCCTTTGCAACTCGGCCACTGTAAGTAGTAGTATAAAAACAAACAGAAAGAAGTGAGATTGTGTTCTAGGACTGTTATTCTAAGATCTCATGTACTTTGGCTGAATAAGAAAATGGCCTCTTTGGCCTACCCTTTCCCCAATCCTTTGGTCACTGAGAAAGGCTTGCTTGTTGGGGTGGAGTTCTAAAGTGTCATGACATCCTATCTTAAGAGAGTTTTCTCCATCTCTGGACTCTCTGAGGGCTTCCATTATCATTGAGGAATGATTTCTCATTGCCCAGCATTTCCAGTAACATTACCAAAACTAAACAAAAAAACTCTTTATAGACAGTGAGACATTAGGAATCACTGTTTCAGTTCTTATTGGGCTGCTGTTGTAAGGGAAGAAGAGACACATTTAAAACCCTACAGACAAACAGCTGCAGGGAAGGAAAGAAATAGTAAAAGGGTTAGAAGACAGGAGAATTGGATGGAAACCTCAGGCTGTGCTGAGAGTTCCTCACTTTCTTTGTTCTCAAGGATAAGGCCCACTGAGTGACTGTCCACCAGAGAAGGGTCTGAAAATAGATTCATAATGGTTACTTACTGTCACTATTTACCTGTATCGGAACCGGCTCCCTTTAAAGAATAAATTGCTGCTGGACACTGTGCGGACTTGGCTTGATTTCTCCAGCCTGTAGCAAGGCAAAGTTCAGTGTGACCAATGGCCTAAACCTGCCTCACACAGGCCAAGGCTGTACATTCCCAGCTCCTTCCAAAGGCCATGTGAGGAAACTTGATTCAAGAAAAAGCCCTGGGTAGCCCACGCTTGTCTCAGGACTGGAGGCTGTGCTCACAGCCAGGTGCCCTTCTGTCTCAGAGCCTGGCAGTCACATGGAAGCCTATTTTAATGTCAGGAGAGTGAAGGTCCCTGAGAAGGTTTATAGAATTGACCAAGGGAACCGAGGAAACAATGTTAGGGATAATGGTCTGGTGAAAAGAAGAATACCATCCTTCTAATCTCAGCCATGCCTTTATTGGCAGTGTGACCTCAGACCAGTCTTTTTATTTTTTTATATTTTGCAGTACTGGGGATTGAACCATGCATGTTAGGAAAGCACCCTTCTATTGAGCTACATATCCAACCCTTCTTAAATTTCATTTTTGAGACAGGGTCTTGCTAAATTTCCCAGACAATCTTTGAACTTATAATCCTCCTGCCTCAGCTTTCTGCTTGAATTATTTGCACCACCACACCCAGCCTCAGTCTTCTTCTCTATGAAATGATGGAATTGGGACTACTTGACCTCAGAAGTCCCTTCTATCTCTAGTATTTGATGCTTTGTGTCCTTCTCTGGGTAATTGTGGGTGGAAAAGAGGGTAGGGGCTGCCCTTTCTGTTCCATTTTCCTGCTGGGGAGTCCTAACATGCATTCTCATAATAAAAATTCAGAGACGTCCTGCAGTGAGGAAACCAGCATAATTTCAATAAAAATTCCATCATTTATTTGAATTTGGAGCCATCCTGTTTTCCCCAGATTACCTATTTGATATCACTTTTGAAACTACAGAGAGCTAATGTGGAGATCTGGGAAGGCCATGGGCACTGGAAAACATCCTCCTGGTGGCCTTGCTGATCCCATTAGTTCTCTCACCCTTAGAAATGGAGGCCTGGACAGAACTGCCCAGGGGGGTCTCCAAGACCTGACTGCCGTAAAACCCTCCCAGGGTGCCTATAGTACTAATCCAGCTGGGAGTCCATCTGGCTCTGACGTCTCTGCCATGATGGGCATTGAGTATTTAAGGAACTGTCTCCACAATCCATGAACAGTTCCTGGAAGACACCACCCCCACCACCCCATCTCGGGGCTCTGTGAGGATTCAGCCTACTTGCCCTCCTGCCTCAACATGTTCTTGAGTCTGCCCCAGCTATCTTCAAGGCACTAGGCCATAGGCAGGATGCGGACCTGTGTGTCAGAGATGCTGAAAATGGGCTGAAATGATTGGTTGCTACCAAAGACTTGATGTAACTGGGATCTGATCCAGGCTGGAGGCTTTTAACAATTAGGACATTAAGGAGGCAATGGAAAACTGAAAAATGACCTCAGTTTCTAGTGTGGGTGCAGTGGAAAAACTCAGAAACTGAATTTTGTTACAGGTTTAGAAGCAAACTTCTGTTATGGGCGGTGGAAAACAAAGCTTTAAGAACAAGTGCTGGAGAAAACAAGAGACAAAGAGATTCCTTCTGTTTGTGTTAGACCATTTAGCAGAGAGAGAGAGACTGCTTCCAAATGTATCATCCCCAGGGCAATGAAAGCTCAGTGCAGAGCCATCTCTGGCTTTCCTCTCTTTGTTGGGGAGACTCAGGGAACCCCATCCTTCCTGTGTTGCTTCTCAGTCCCACAAACAAAAGTTTGCATCTTGAGTTGCTTCTCTCCATGTTCATGTAACTGACCAAAGCTGAGCTCTGTCAAAGGCAAAGGGAAGGTGGTGGCAAAAGAAAAAATGTTTCCTTGGCTTTCCATGGAAAGCAGGGACTGAGCAGGAGAAGAATTTGGCCATGCTAAAGTCTCTCCTGAGTGTCCTCTTCATGAGATGAAAGACATCCCCTCAGGTTAGAATTCAGACTGCCTATTCAGTTCATCCTGGTGCTGGTATCAAATGCATAGTATTATTTAGCAGTTCAGAAAGCCTGCCCAAGAAACAAGCAGCCTCTGGAGCTGTGGCCCCAGAACAGAAGCAGGTAACAGAGTCTGCTCACTGGGGAGGGGGATGGTGCCCAGTCAGCCCCCGGCAAGTCGGGTTTCTCCAGGATCCTTTAGGGACATTTGATGATAGCAAGGCTGACCCCAGGTAGAATATACCAACTGTCTTGCCTTGTCCTAATCAAGACACATCTTATTAAAGCACAAATTTCTTTCTTTATTTCTCTCTGGCACAGGAGATTGAACTCAGGGGTGCTCTATCACTGAGCTACAACCCCAGACCGTTTTATTTTATTTTTTTGAGACAGGGTTTCACTAAGTTAGCCAACCTGGCTTTAAACTTGCAATCTTCCCATGTAGCTAGGATCACAGGCATATGCCACTGCCTGTGGCTTCCTAATGCTTTTATAATCTTCTTATAAAAATTTAAAAAAACTTCTTAAAAAATTTTTTTTTTTAAATTATGGTTGCTTGGAATTGAACACAGGGCCTTATACATACCAGGTAAGCATTCTACTAGTGAGCTACATCACCAGCTCGCTACTTTTTTTTCAGTACTGGGAACTGAACCCAGGAGTACACTACCACTAAGCTATATTTCCTAGCACTTTTTAAAAATTTTTAATTTTGAGGGACTGGGGTTGTGGCTCAGCAGCACAGCGCTCACCTAGCGCACATGTGAGGCACTGGGTTCGATTCTCAGCACCACATAAAAACAAATAAACAAACAAAATAAAGGTATTGTGTCCATCTAAAACTAAAAAAAAAATAAATAAAATTTTTAAAATTTTGAGACAGAGTCTCACTAAGTTGCTCATGCTGGCCTTGAACTTGTGATCCTCCTGCTTAGCCTCTCAGCTGTGTGCTGACATGCCCAGCTCCTGCCACTTTCTTTATCAAAGAAAAGTGAACACAAATAACTCATACTTTACAAAATTATTTAGTAAGCACAATTCACCTTTGGCCTAAACCTGGCTTCCCAATAGTGGTTAAGCCTTTGTCCCTCCAGCGACCCCACCCGAGGCTCCTGGGTACTTGGTCTGTTGTTGGCTTACACCTTTGGTAGTAACACAACAGGAGGGGCTGGCATCGATCCCAGCTCAGCAGTGGGCAACCCACTAAGAGACAGACCTCAGAATTTCTCCAAAGAGTGGGGCTCGGGTATGCTTTGGGTTGTACCTGATCTTTTATCAAACTGTTGTGCTCCAGGCCTTCCAGGGCTCTGAATGATTCAACAAGGACAGCATGATTCAAATTAAACACCCTTTGTCTACCCCAAAAGGTCATTACTCCATCCTGGGGGCTGTCCAAGGACAGACACCTCAAGGCAGACCCTTGGGCTACTTAGCAGAAACATTCCCTGTCTTTGGCTGTGTACATGGGGGTGGGGGGAAAGACCCAGAAAGGGGTCTGAGTTTTACTAGGAAGCCAGCCTTGTCATCTCATGTCTCCAAGTCTCCTGTCTCAAGGTTTCTCAAGGTTCACATGCCCATCTTTTCTTAAAAAGCAACCTTTGTGACTTTGCCTCTGATAAAGATGGTCCCCATCATGTGTCTACTCACTTGTAGAAGGCTTGATTCTCAATTCCACATTTCCAGAGGTGCTTGCAGGCTTCTGGAGTTGGAGCAAAATAAGTGAGAATAATTTTCTTTTCCTGCAAAAAAATTTCACATAGAAATGACTGAGTATGGATGAAGAAATGAAGGGTGAAGTAGCCGGGAAACTAACTCTTGTGCTGCTGGAAGCCCCCAGCAGCTGGCTAGCTGGAAGAGAAGATCCAGAGGACCCACTGGGGCAGAGCTCAAATTCAGTGCATCACCTAACACCTGGCAAGTCCAATCAGTATAAGTCTCAGCTGTCACAAGTTGATCCAGGAGAGCCATTGGTGAGAAGTGGCATTTGCATCTGGAATTTCCGTATATGGAAAAAGAATCTCATTTTGACTACATTTCCTGGAGGAAGGGATCTCTTGGGTGAAAACTCTGGGTGTCATCAGCATACCTGAGAAAGTATGTACTCCAGAAGCTTCCTACCCTTCATACCTCACCTCCAGGTCTTGACTTGATGTTGGCTGAGCATGTGAGTGGCTTAGCTCTACTTGGACCCCATAGACTTGGCTCTAGACTTCAGGAGCCATCGCAGTGCCCCAGCCCTCCCTGAAGAGAAGGAAGCCAGCACTCACCTCTTTCTGACTTACATATAAATAGAAAGTCTTTCCTTCAAATTTCAGCTTGGTCACCTCATTCCTAGAAGCACAAAAAGAGCACTTGTCACCTTGATGTGGGCTGCTGGTTCACAGCTAAGTCTTGTAGATGCACAGCCCACCCCAACTGGAAGGGGCTCCAGGCACAGACACAATTTTAGCCAAAATCAGAACTGAAACAAGACAGCAGCGCAGTGGCCTTAGAGAACAGTTGTTGGAACAGTTCAATCCACAGTTTTCTGGTCAATCACACTATAGTAATAGGGTGATAGGAGGATTTCGGGCTCATCAACAGTGGCTGTAAAAGGGAAACATTTGCATGGAAAGTGAGTCTAGGTAGAGTGTCCGGGTCATTTCAGGATTTGGTTCATAACACAGGTGCATTGGGACTGTCAAATGTAAGATGCCACAGGTAGCTGATGAGGCCAAAGTTCAAGATACAGCAAATAATGAAATACAATGCAACCAGGTTCTGAGGGAGTTGAGTCTTTCAGGTGACTGTGCCACTGGATGGAAAATGCAGTTTAATGCAGACAAATGTCAAACAATCTCAGGGAGGGGGTGGGGCAACATACCAAAGAGAGAGAACAGATTACATGGAACAGTCATGCAGCGTACTGACCAGGAAAGGGGCTTAGGGGTTATTGTAGAAAAATCCTTGAAGCCACCAGCCCAGTGAATGGCTGCAGTAAAAGAGGCAAACAGGATACTGGGGTACGTCACCCGCAGGACAGACACAAATCAGAAGAAGTGACATGGTTACTGTACATGGCACGGCCTAGACCTCATCTCCACACACTGCTTTCAGCCTTGGTTACATTTACAAAGTGAAAAAATTACTGGGGCCTTAGGTGGATGTCCCTGAGAGCCAGAGAACTAGGCCTTGGCATCAGTTGCTGCTCACTTCACTTCTATCTGCCCAGCACAACTACCCTCATGAGCCACAGGCCCTCTACCCCTCTCTGGAGTGCCTATTTTTCTGCCCATTTGAGACCCCTAAGGAGGTCTGATTGTGTAGATCTGCTTCAACTTTGCTTCTTCCTCTTGGTAATTTCTAGGGAGGTCTCCTCAATATCCTAGTAAGTAGAAGAAGGGTAGTAAGCACTATGTACCCAATTTATAGCTGGACATACTTCAGGGGACAGATAAATCACTTATTCTTTATGGTCCTGGAAATCATGGTTGGGTCAGGATGATACTCTACAACTTCTGACCAGCAGTTCTGAGTTAGGACCAGTCATGTAGCATTCCCTCCATGTTTGATTCCCTTTTATTCTCCCTTTTAGTCGGTCAATCATCAATCTCACATACTCAGATACACTACATTACATATCCCGTGGTTAATATACAGGCAAGTACACAGATCATTTAGGCTCTATCAAGCAAGATAGAATGTTAAGGGTTTTCTTTTGAGGGTGAGGTTGGGTTTACATCTGTATTATAAAGTTGAGGGGCTGGGGCTGTGGCTCAGTGGTAGAGCGTTTGCCTAGCATATGGGGGCACTGGGTTTGATTCCCGAACCACATAAAAATAAGTAAAATAAAGGTATTGTGTCCATCTACAACTAAAAAAAAATTAAAAATAAATAAATAAAGTTGAGACACGGTGAAGAGACTCCCTGAAGAAGTGGTAGATGAAAGGAAGAAAAAGATCGAGAAGCAGTGTGGCTTCTGGAGGGCAAGGGATAATTAGAGACTATAAGTATCTGTGAGAGTGCTTCTTACTTGTTCCTAGCTAATTGTGTCCTCTAACAGGGTCCTCATGAGCTACCCTAGTCAGAATGTCATTGTCTAAGGAACATTGAATATCCCAGATATATCCAGGCAGCAAATGATGTACACTAGGAGAAATGTGATCCTGCTCATTGTCTTTTTCCTGAAAAGTATTTTGTTGGACAGATTTCAAATCCTCACATCAACACCCAGAGAGCACAATGAGGACCACTTGAGGAAGCCAAGGAAGCTGGTATGTTGGGTAACTCCAGGCAGCAGGCATGTCTGCATGTTTGAATAGCAGTTTCTCTAGCACTGTTGTAGATCATTCACAAGAATAATCTGGGTTAAAAAATGACTGGTGTTCTAAAGAGGGCAAAGGAGGGCAGATACCTACAGCACCCCAGAAGAAAGCTGATTGGAAACCAGCTCTGTACTCAGACCCTTCATATGCTCTTCTGGAGAAGGTAAAGGGATGAAGACAGGGAGAGGCTTTGCTACTGAGTTCTGCTGGACCAGGGAAGCCATTTATCCAAGTCCATTGGAGGAACTGGCCAGCTTAGTCATGGCAGGCTGAGACCTAAGCAGGCACAGAAATCACAGGGACTTAGTAGAATATGCAAAATGTCCTAGGGAGGCTGATAATGTTTGCAGGGGCCAGCCATCCAAAGGGGCTCAAGTATAATTCAAATGGCAATCAACAAATTGGAGTCTTCCCAGCCATAAAGAATAGTGCCCAAACAAAACAAAAACTGGCAGGAGGAAATGTAGTTCTAAGAAGCCGCAGCTGTGGCAGAGGCTCTTGCCTGCTGGAAGTGGGAGTGGAGAGTAGGGGAAGGAAGACAGTGTGGACATGACTCCTGGAGGCGGAAGACACTTAAGGCCTAAAGGGGAATAGGAGTGAGAGCAAGCAGCATCTGAGCTCTTGCAGACCAGTTGCCCACAAAGGAGGTTGGTCTGAGAGGGGGTTGTGCAGAGTAACAGGATGACTTATCTGCCCTAGGGGTCATAGTCTGTGTTGTAGAGTAGATAAGGGAGTTGGGCCATCTACGGAGATGCTCTCAAGCAGCCTTAATAGGGTTGGCAATGGTCCTTAGCAGGTGATGGAACCAAGGACTCAATTCTCTTGGGAATTTTGCTTCCCTAATATTGGCTCCAGCCCCAGGCCTCCCCAGAAATTAAATCTTCTTAGTCTTTCTCTCTCTGGAGAGGCTGTTGGCTCTCAGGGACAACCCTGTGGAAGAATAGGATCCCTAGGAAGAGACCACTACCTTCATCAGTTACCATTCTCAACACAAGGCTTTGGAGAGGGCTCCGAACCATAATTGCCCAATCACAGACAAAGGACATGGGAACCACAGCCCCTCCCCGGTTAGTGAGATATAATGAGCCTGTTTTGGAAATGAAGATACTCACCATTTAATGAAGTGGACCCTCTTGTTTCCTTGAAGAACAACAAACCCAAAAGGAGTGAAGGCCAGAAATGCAGCATTTCCTGACACATCCTGCAACATAGAAAGACTTCTCATTGGGGTGACGCAGGCATAGAGGTGAAAGAGTGAGAAATACAGTTCTTCATAGGGAGGAAAGGTTACTACCTCACAGAAGGTTGCAGAGGCAAGAAGCAGGGCATCTGGAATCACTAGACTATGGTTAGAGTCCCAGCTTTGCCACTCACCAGCTTACTGAGCCTGTTGCCCTTATCTGGAGGCACCAACTTAGAATGTTATGAACTACCAAAGAGAACCCCCAGGCATTGGTGATGAGATTGTGCAAGGGTGTACAATTGTTAAACACAGAGTTACCATAAGATCCAACAATTCTACTCCTTGGTACGTGCCTGAGAGAAATGAAAACATGTCCATACAGAAACTGTACCTGGATGTTAACAGTAGCACTATTCGTTATCATCCAACCAGCAGTAACAGTCCAATCCATTTTGCAGTGGAAAATGTCCACCAATTGATAGGTGAATAACCAAATGACATAGTATCATACATGGAATATTATTCAATAGTAGAAAGGAATGAAGAACCAATACATGCTACAATATGGGTGAACCTTGCAAACATCATGCCAAGTGAAAGAAGTGATCAAGTGTTGAATGATTCCATTTATATATAATGTCCAGAATAGGCAAATCCATAGAGCCAAAAGGAAGATTAATGGTTTCCAGGGCCTGGGGAAAGAAGTAGGGCAGTGCCGGCTGATGGGTATGGGGTTTCTTTGTTGTGGGGGTCATGAAAATATTCTAAAATTAGACAGTGGTGATGGTTGCTTAAGTCTGAATAACTAAAAGCCACTAAACTACACACTTAAAAGGGTAGATCTTATATGAATTATATATCAAAAAGCTGTTATTAAAGAGAAGCAGTTATCATCAACATGATGGTCCTATGACACTGGGCTCCCTCAGGAAAGTTTAGCTGAAGATAAGCAGTAATTGGCTGAGTAGAACAGTTGCCACCAGCCCTGAGGCCTGAACCAACAGACAGGTTCTCCTGGTCACTGGTCCTCAGTTTGTAAATATCAGGCTTGGGTTTCTGCTGAGCAAGTGGGAAGAAGATGTAGCAGAAGGTGTTGATCATGGTTCCGTGAAGTGGAAAAATGAGCTCCATGAGGAAGGAGCTATCTGAAAGATTATAGGGCACTGAGTGAAGTGGCACAATCCTGTAATCCCAGCGGCTCAGGAGGCTGAGGCAGGAGGATCGTGAGTTCAAAGCCAGCCTCAGTAAAAGCGAAGTGCTAAGCAACTCAGTTAGACCCTGTCTCTAAATAAAATACAAAATAGGGCTGGGATGTGGCTCAGTGGTTGAGTGCTCCTGAGTTCAATCCCTGGCACCCCCCATCCCCCCCAAAAAAAAGGTTTTGGGGCTTCTTTTGTGACAAAGTTCAGGTAAGAATCTACTGTCAGGCTGTGTGGTGATGACAGAAAACTGTGTGGTGATGACCAGAAAACTAAGCAATGAAACTGGCCAAACATGCCAGAAGAATTTTCTGGCACAGCTCAGGTGATGCTATGGAGTCCATACACCTGGCAGGAGGCTTGTGAGTGGAAGCTGTGGCTGCTAGGCCAGATGAGCCTGAGGGTTGGCTCTCCTGATCCTTCGCCTGCAGAGTTTGCTACCCTGGCATAGATTTTCAGCCTGATCAGCCCTATGAACATAGGGGCCTCTGCAGGGTCTGATGAGCCTTGCCTCAAGGAAAACACAGGTTTGCCTCTTGGAGTCATGCAGGTTTGAGCCTCTGGGCCCAGAGAATAAACTAATTATACATTTCACAAACATTTCTGATTAATGTGTTGTTATCATTGTCCCTCTCTTTGGGTCAAGATCCAGGCACTTGGCTATAAGCGTGGTATCGTTTAACTCATGGGCATAGCAAAAAGTTTTTAAAAATAACTGGAATGATGGGGCTGCCATTGTGGTTCAGTGGTAGAGCGCTTGTCTTGCATGCATGAAGCACTGGGTTCTATTCTCAGCACCACATATAAATAAATAAAATAAGGTATTGTGCCCATTTACAACTAAAAAAAAAAAAGTAAAAAAACAAAACAAAACTGGAATGAAACACTGCATGGCCACAGGGCTGAATTTCCTCCTTCCTGTCATCAGTGCTTGGTGGTGGTTATTAATATCTGAGAACCAGGCACTGCACACAAACACTGTTCCTGCCAGGAGGCACCAGGGCTATCCTGGCTGACTTGGCAGAGATATGGACCAGAGCATAGTGGCCTCTTTGAAGAGAATGCCTGGGAGGCAGCCTGCCTCAGATGGAAGGTGGGTGCCAGGCTTTCTACTCCTTGTGCAAGCAGGATTCAGGGAAGTCCTAAAACTTAGAGACTCCAGGGTAGAGACCTTATTGTGAGGTTAAAAAAAAAAAATAGTTTCAAATTTTCTTTCTTGTGGAAAGAGCTTCAGTCTTGGTGTAGGACCCAAGCTCGGCTTATTGTTATTATTTTTTTCTGCTTATTATTTGCTCTGTAGCTTGCTTAACTTCTCCAAACCTCAGTTTTCCTCATTTGTAAAATGAGGACGATAATACCTATAGAAACACTAGCTTCTGATGTTAGGATGGAGGCCCAAATGCCTCACTGCTAGGAGGTGGCCAGTGGTGTTCTTGGAGAGGGATGAATTTGTTGTACTCATCATTAATCATTCACGAGTTGGGGTAGAACACACCATCCAACATGACCTGCATCCACTCAGCACCATGAAGGGTCACCAAGATGACCAGAAAAGGAATTTTGGAAATCAAAGTACAGATGGATATTGGAAATAGGAACATTGGTCCTCCTCTGCCCAGTCCCCACAGGTTCTACCTGCAGTTATATACAAAGCAGCCTTCTGCCAACAGCCAACCAAGAGGGTCTCCTGATAGAGTCAGGACCATGACACTCTTGGTTGTAGGGTCCCTGGGGTTATCCTGTCCCTTCTTTAGTCAGTCTTGGATGAAGCCTCTTATTCTTGAAAAACAATAGGAAATATGACTCCACATGCTCTTCCAGACACTAATAAATCATTTCTGAAAGAGCTAATGGTTGGGGGACCATAAGTCAGTCATGAAAAATCAGTTTCAAAATACTTAAACTTAGCTCCAAGAAACTAGAATGGAAAGAAAGAGGAGGTGGTAGCACCCTATAAGAGACTTGGTGGCACTTTATGACAGCTCAGAAATGGAATTCTTGGTGGAAACTTGCCATCTGAGTGGCTTTAGTCAAGTTCATCATTTCAGAAGTGAAATCTATCACCCTGTCCACAGCACAACCAAGAGGGGCCCACTCATGGTGGGAAAGTCACCTCACATCCTCTGAAGTCAGGAGCAACTTGTCAAGATGGAGGAAGGGTTTCTTATTTAGAGAGGGGGACAGGGGGCTGGATGATGAAAGTAATGATCCTATTTTAAGGTCAGAGAAACAGTACAATTTAATTTTTGTTATCTAATCTAGATCCTGCTGTAATTAATTTTCTCCTGGTCTATACAGAGCAGATATAAACTGGTAAAATTACATTAAAATTTTTTATAATGATTACAGAAATCTTTAAAAAAATTTTTTTTTAGTTATAGACACAATATCATTTTTTTTAAATTATTTTTACATGGTACTGAGAACTGAACCCAGAGCCTCTACCACTGAGCTACAACCCCAGCCCATGATTCTAGAAATCTTTATAGGTCTGTGTCTTATCAGAATTGATGGTGACTCATGCTTGGTGCCTAAACAAATGCCATATTGGCAGAACGAAGACCATGAACAGTAACAGCAAAAGCACTGCATTGAGACCAGATAACTCTGGGTTTGAGTCTCAGTATTGTCCTAACCAGTAACTTTAAGCATGTTAGTTAGTCCCTCAAAGGGAACTTCTTATCCCCCTCTTATTCCTTATTATCTGTACCTTCAAAGGCTCAGAGTTCTTATCTTAAAATAAGGACATATTCTTGGTAGTGATGTTGTAAAGATGTTATAATGCCAGTGGCTTGGGAGGCTAAGGCAAGAGGATCGCAAGTTCAAAGCCAGCCTCAGCAATTTAGTGAGATCTTGTTTCAAAATAAAAATAAAACAGGCTGGGAATGTGGCTTAGCAGTTAAGCATCCCTGGGTTCAATCCCTGGTTTAAAAAAAGAAAAAAGGTTGAGATAATGTATGAAATGACCTAGCACATGCAGAGTTTCAATAAATGGCACTTTTGAGACATATATGATAAAAAGGTCAGGCAGAGGCTGGGTATCTGTGATGAGTCTAACTGCTACAGGAGACTCAAGGAAAACAACTAACCTTGGGGCCAGCTTGGATGGAACAAGAAGGTAGTTAAGGCTGGAGAGGCATCAGGGACAGGGAACATGTGCAACAATGGGCTTGGGCAGCTGGGGGCTTCTGCCAGGAGTGGGGAACTGAAAGTTGAGGCAGAAAGCTCGGGACAGGCTTGTACAAGTTTGGAGTTTGGGTCTTACTGCACACCTGCTAGCTAATGGAATGCTCTGGCTCTCCTAGACAGGGTTTATGGCTCCTCCTTCTGGTCCCAGGACCAGACAAGGACACTCTGAGCAAAAGGAAACCACCAGTGTGTACAGGACAAACAGCAGCTTCTTAATCTGTCCAGGAAAACAGAGCCCAGCTGAAGCGTTGTTCTGATTTCATTTAATTATCAAAATGATTCCTCTTCTTCTGTCCTCCCTAGGGCTGCATGCCCCAGATTCCCCGGGCCCAGTAATTGCCTCTCTGTTAATAGAAATCATCAGTATTTATTATACCAAGTGCACCAGCTTGTTTCAGCTCTCCTTGTAGCGACATTAAGGGAAGTACTTGGTAGCACATCACTAAAGTGACTCTACTTACTGGTAAGAGTAAAGGCTCCCAAACTGCTCTCCTTGCTCAGGAGGGCTGAGGAAACCATGGCTAGAGCCTAATGAGAGGAGCCAAGGGACCATGTGTGGGGTCTGCCTGCAGACCTGACATAGCCCCCGGTAAGCAGAGGCAAAGGACCCAGGAACAGGGAAGTCCAATGAGATGACCACCCCCACCTCCCCAAAGTAAGTGTATGGGGCATGTTTTCTGTTTTACATAGGGTACGTACGTGACCAGAGTGTGAATTCTTCCTCTGCTACTCAGGGCCTGGTGAACCTTGATGTCAACAGAACATCAGCCTTCTTGATTATAAAACCAGGAGTATAACATCCAGCCCCTTTTCCCCAAAGCTGGCTGAGGAATAAATTAGAAATGATGCAAAAGGACTTCACTGGGCCTGTGTTGGAAGGCGTGCCACATTCTGCTCTTTTCCTCCCTCCCTTGGTCCCTCCTCCTCCCTCCTCCTTTCCAGGAATTGATGCTGTGGAGGTGAGATGATAGGATATATAGGATTGGGTGCACAAAGGGTATGAATGCTGGGTTCTCCCTGCAGCCTCTTCAGCCTCTCTCTGCCCAATGTTGGACAAACTTATCAAAGTCAAGGCTGAGCCAGGAGACCCATATTTGTTGAGTGCATGTGGATTTGGGCTGGTAACCAGTCTGGCTGCCATTCTACATGATTTCCAGACCCTATGGACAATAGTGGAGAATCCCACCCACCTCTAGTTAGTTGTTGTGCTTGGGGTCACTGCCTGCCCACCTCTGTGCTGTAAGCCCAGCTCAGGGACCCCTTTCATGAGTGGCCTCAAATGGATTAGGCATGTTGGGCTCAAATTCAGACATGATCCCCACACCTTCTACTTAGCCATATCTATCTTTAAGCAGCTATGTCATTTCAGGTCCTGGAGTGACTCAGCAGCTCAGGGAGCACAGTTATTGAACATCTACTGTGTACTTAATCACAGATAAGAAAACTGAGGGTCAGAAGTCTCCAAAAGCCTCAGTAAGTAGGAGACAAGGACTGGAGCCTTGGGCCAGCTGCCCCCTGCCCCCCAACTCTCACTCCCATGGGGTGTCTGCTGAGAGTGTCTGAGCAGTTGATAGAGGGGTTTAAATTACCTCTGTTACACAGGAAACATTATTTGGGAAGCGTTGCTAATTTGTAAGTATTGGTATATCAATTCTTCGGTATAAACCGGCATGGATATGTTTTCTGACAGTATCGGCTCAAGAACACAGGGGCCAGATGGCAATTGACTGTGCTAGTGGATAGGCAGTGTGGGGTCTGGAAGACAAGCAGCATTTCAAAGTGCCAGAACGTTTTAAGATTCATATTAAATCCTAGGCAAGGATAATTCACCATCATTTCACTAGGGAGCCAAGGAAAACACTGTTCTGTCCCCATGTCACTGTGTCCCATAGTTTGTGCTGAATTGTGTCTTCCTTTCCCCCGGATTTATATGTGGGAGTCTTAACCCCCAGTACCTTAGAATGTAACCTTATTTGAGGACAGGATCTTGACAGAACTAATTAAGTTCAACTGAGGTCATTCGTGTAGACCCTATTCCAATTTAACTGGTATCCTTATAAGACAGGAGATTTTGGACATTTATGAACACAGGGCAGACTGTGTGAAGACACAGGGAAAAGACAGCCATTTACAAGCCAAGGAAAGAGGCCGGGAACAGATCCTCTGAGGCCCTCTGAAGGAGTCGACCCTGACAGCACCTAGATGTCAGGCTTCTAGCCTCCAGAGCCAAGACAATACATTTGTGTTGTTCAAGCTACCCGGTCTGATGCTCAGTTATCATGGCCTAGGAAGGGAACACGCTGCTCTTGAAACTTAGTTTCCTCTCACCTCTCAGGAAGATTGATGTTGTTCAGCTTCTAGCTGACACTATCTCCTTCAGATAAGTTGGAAAACTGTTTTTTGTTTGTTTTTTGTGATACTGGGGGTTGAACCCAGGAGCATTCTGTCACTGAGCTACAACCCCCAGCCCTTTTTATTTTTTATTTTGAGACAGGGTCTGGCTAAGTCGCAGAGACAGACCTCAAATCTGCGGTCTTCTTGCCTCAGTCTCCCAAGTGGCTGGAATTACAGGGGGCACTAACACACCTAGCCACAGCTGGTTTTACGGGCAGTGCTGTAACCTTTTTGGTATTGGAAAGGCAGGCAGAAATGTGGAGAAACTGAGGCAGAGAGTGAGAATTCAAAGCACCAGGGACAGGGGGATACAGTGGAGGGAGGCAGAGAGAGATGTCAGGAAGAGGCCACGGGTCTCTGCTGCTCTCAGCAGGGACTGGGGCTGCTGGTGATCATCTCCAAAATGCCAGGTACGTGTGAGTAATTACAGAGATTTCTCTGGGCGCAACTTCCCCAGCTGGTTCCCATCTCACCCTTACAGGCACATAATGGAATTAAATGTGACTCCACTGCAGTTCCTTCTGGTGACGTTCGTCACTACAGTCAATAAAACCCACTCTTAGAAAGAAACTAGATTACGGGTCAGGGAAGGGTGGGCAGTTGCTGAGTGCTTCTGATCACTCCCTGTGGGGGGCCTTCTACATTCCTCTTCTCTTCATTTCCACCAAATTACCCACTGCTGGCCAAGTAGGGCCCAGTTTTGGATTGTTATTTAAATGGACTTCGTTTCTGATGCTCTGACATTTATGTGGCACCACAGAATTATGCAGCATGGAATCCAGAGGAGTTTTCAACCTGAGACATCTTCTCTGGCATCTGTCACTGGAAGAGCCACTCCTGCACACATTGAAGGGGATAAGCACATGGTCCTAAGCATATGGTCCTTTGCTCCTGTCACCCTGTAGAGGAGGCACAGTCAGTGCGGTCTCCCACATGGGGAGTCTTACCTTACATGGGTGAGGATCCACCCCATAAGTCTCCAATGTCTGTGCTTTTCTTAAGAAGTTCAGTTCTGATGTTGCTGGTGTTTGACCACTGGAATAAAGAAAATGACATGATTTCACGGCTTCCTGTTCTCAGAGGTTCCTCTGATACAAAACTCTCTACAAGAAGTGCTCTGGGTGAGCTACATACCTCCAGTTTTCCATAGAGTATGCTCTCTCCTTGGTTCTAGATCAACTTCAGGGATTCAAGTCTAGGTGCCAAGCCCTTTGCCTGCCACAAAAGTATTTTTTCCTGTCTTGGGTTCACTGGCAGATAGATGTAACTTCAGAGTGAGACAGGCTACATAATAAATCACTGGGCTGAATGTGAACAATAGGGAGTGGTGGAGTCTGTGGCAAACTAGGGAGTACTCCCTGCATCTAATTAGTGCAGCTGCTCCTAAGTGCTGAGATTATAGGCACATGAGAGAGGTGCTAACTTTGTGGTATTTCACAATTTTGAACATTGTGTGTGTGGGGGAGCACATCTGTAGCTTCGATGTAGGATATAGGTTTCTCTATAATCTAGGAGATAGCACTGTGTTCCCCACACTCCACAACAGCTCTGCCTGTCCATAGGGTGGTACTATGAAAAGGAAATAAGCTGGAAAAGGAAGAAATCAGCAGTGGATCCCAGCCATCTTTGAAGAGCCCTTTGCATCACTCTCCTCCCAGCTGCCTCTTTTGCAGGTGTGTAGATAAGCTCACCACAGAACCAGGGGCATGATCACCATCAGGCTCGCACATGGGCGTAGAGCCCTGGAAGAGCAGATGGGCTTCTGCAGATGTGGGCTGGGCTTTGGTGTGAGGAAGGGTGGGCAGCATGATGTCAGCGATTCTGACCCCCTGGAGGGCAGGACTGAAAGTTGCTCATTTCTAAGTTTATCACTGGCCAAGTAACATGGCAGGAAAGGAAGACATGTCCACCCAAGTGAGAAAGAGGCTAGACTCCCTCCAGAGTCCCTCTGAAGAGGCCTCGCTCAATACCTTTATGTGCCAGCCTCTGTGCTACTTGCTGGAAAATAGACAGAAATAAAGCACATGCCTGGGCCCTCATGAATTCACATCAGAGTTGAAGGGAGCAGACACATTTTTACACTATGAAGGTGAGGCTGAACCTGTGTCAGTAGGTATTAGTGTGAAGGTATTAGTGTGAACTTACATCTATCTGCCAGTGAACCCAAGACAGGAAAAAATACTTTTGTGGCAGGCAAAGGGCTTGGCACCAGAGGTGGCCAGAGCATCACTGTGCCTTCCAAGAAGCATCCTCATTCCCTGTGTACAGGGTGGTGGGCAGTGTGGGCTCCATTCACCCTGGATTGGCCAAAATACCAGGGCCCTCAAAGCTGGCATCATTTCTTGGGGGAAACTCCTGCCTTGAACAAGGTTTGTGGAGTACTCTCCCCTCTATTACTCTGACCTCTATGACTCTCTGGGCAGCTCTTGCTGGACATCCCAAATATATGAATGAGACCTCACACAGGTCTGTTTTATCTGACCTTACCACAAGGGGTCACTATTTCCCCAACACAGTGATGCGAGGAACCATGGGCCCCTGTACAGGGAGAGATGGAAACACCCAAGATCATAACCTTGATAGGTGTCTCTATTCCTCTGGAGTCTGGAATCTGGCTTGAAACCCACAATGGGAATAGGGACTGTTTACAAAGGCTCAGGAGGCTCCCAAGGCTCAGGAGGCTTTGGGTTACATTCATTGGTAATACCTTAGAGTGGAGAAGGTATGGTGTGGTGTGGGTGGGGGAAGAAAAGGAACTAGTTTTCATTTAATATTATCATTAAGAAACACCCCTTCTCCCCAGTACAGTTCTTCCTCAGAACAGTGAACACACAAACATTTTTAAAGATTTTTTTTAAAGTATGTAATGTGCTAAAACGGTGACATAACATTTTTAAAATATATATATTTTTAGTTGTATATGGACAGAATACCTTTATTTATTTTTTTATGTGGTGCTGAGGATCGAACCCAGTGCCTCACTCTATCACTGAGCTACAATTCCAGCCCAGTGACATAACATTTTGCTATTTTATGATATTCTATTGCATATACTGATTCTTTTCATAGTTATCAGTTTGGGTGATCCACTCCATCATGATACATTGAATGGAGCCCAAACACCCTATTCTTTCTCTTTAAAGTAAGTCTTTGTCACAGATCCTATTTCATGTGGGTAAAAGGATGGATTAATGCTTCTTTATGGAATTCTATAATTCTGGGCAAAGTAAGAGGCATTGAGCAAGACAAGACTCCATGTTTGAAACCACTTCTCCCCTGCATCCCTCTATGTGGGGTCAGGGGCTTCAAGCAGGATGTGTAGAGGAATTAGGCAGTGTTAAAAACACAGACCCCCAGATACCCCACTGTGTCTGTGAGTCAGAGGCCAGCCTGTGTGATCCATTTTCTGACCAGAAGCTACCTATCATGACACTGCCACAGACTGACATCAGAGTCATACTTTTTATTTATTTATTATTTTTAAAATAACCCAAGTCAACACCTTCTCTTTCTCTCTCCCTCTCTTTCTCCACAATACACGAGATAGATCCCAGGGCCTCAGGCATGCTACCACTATATCACACCCCTAGCCCTATCTTCTTTTCTTTTAAGATTTTCCCTTACTTTTCCACTGTTAATGCTTCTCTCTGTACTTCATTTATCTTAATGAAGCAAATACCTCCCAAAGCCTAATCCCTCTCCATTTCCCCAGCAACACAAAAGCAACTTTTTTTTTTTTTGCTTTTAAGCCTTGGCCTAAACCACTCTTCTTGGACAGTGAGCCCACAGAGTTGGGCTTGTGTTGTCAGTAGATCACTGACAATGCTACATCCCAGGGGCAGGAAGGGCAGGGAACATCACACACCTGAGTTCTGTCTTGTGAATCTCAGCAATTTTCTTTTCCAGCTTCTCTGAATGTTTAGGAAAAAACTGGAACTTGGAGCTGTAGCCTTCAGGGTGTTTCCCTGGGTCATAATCTCCAATCTCCGCTTTTAAAGGGAGGTAGAAGAATTGTGTGGAGACAGATAAATCATCACTTGCAAAGCAACAAGATATTAACACACACAGTAGCAGCCAAAACACACATCAGATTTACAAAGGCCAATGGGTCTCAAGCACAGCTGGGCAGAGGGCAGGTGCTTTAGGAGCATGTCCACCTTTGTTTTCCCGGTTGTACTCACTGAGTTGACATTCAAGTCTAAGCAGAGAGAAAGTAGAGCTAACCCTGTGTTCTGAGGTCACCCACAAGTAAATTTGCAATAAAAGAGCATAGGGCTGCACTATGGTCTTCACCATTCAGTCATGAGGTATGGGCCTGGGAGCAATGCTCTATAAGACAGCAGGAAATGGTGAGCTTGATCAGGAAGACAGAGTTCCTGGGCCTGAGATGGGTCAGAAATCTAAAGCTCATTTTGAGGATTTTAGCAGGGACAAAGCTAGTTGATGAGTGAGCCATGATCCACATTTAGAACTCAACCCTTATTCCAAATCAAATTTTTAAAACAGTAAAATTTCAATATTCACAGATGGCTAACCATGTGTCAGGCTATAAGAACCAGACAGTGTCATCAAGTTTAGAAGCACCAAATTCTAGGGCTGATTTCTCAATGTCCTGCTTTCTAAGGCAGTAATAAGTAATTTATTTTTATTTTATTTAGTTCTAAGGCTTTTTCTCAATGAGGGGCTTTCTCCTCTGGCCATGCACAGAGCAGTTCAAAGCTCTTGAGATCTCAGATCACAGAACTCTGGGAGGGCTGTGGACCCATAGTGCTTTCCGCAGCGCTCCAAGTCAGAATCCAGCTTTCTCTATGTGAAGTGCTCTGCAGAGAGCATTCTGGGTGTGACAAAAGGAAGGAGGAGGTTCCAGCTGCTTTGTGGATGTCCTCTCCTTCCACAGAAAGTCATGACTGCTTCAGATAAGAGAGGAGTAAATATTAGGAGGAAAACATGTCCTCCCTCCTCTCACAGCCAATATTGTTCTTGTGGCTTGGGCCTTTTCACTACAATTCTAACTCATGTAACCATGGTCCATTTTATGTTTTGAATATAGCCCTTGCTGCTCTGCCACTGCAACTTATTTTTAAAATGAACATGTTTCTTTCTTTTCCTCTCTCCCTTCTCCTCCCTAATCGCTCCCCTTTTTAACTCAAGGGAAACAGGATTATCTTTTTTTCCCTATCCTCAGCAGGGTTATCTGTCCTTGGACACACACCTACCACAGGAAAGAAGTAATTCAGACTTTGGGGATGGCACCAGCAGATCTCAGATATGATCATCTCCCAAATTAACAAGTGAATTACAACTTCTGACAGAACAGTGGAATGTAGTCTTTGAATCATCTCTGTAAAAACCCCAGCTCCCCTTGATGGGCAGAATCACAGCCTCTGGGACAGGAGTTCCCTGTGCTTTTCCTTTGCTAGCAAAGCAATAAACCTTCTTTTTCCTTTTTCTCAAAGCCATGTCCTCATTATTGGATTGGCACTGGAGACAAGGACCGAACTTTCAGTAACACTCACAGTTCCTTTCAAATTACTTGGGAATTTCTATTACTTAGCAAGAGACTAAAGGTTTCCCCTGTAGTTTGTTAGTGACCTTGAACCTTGGAATAATTTATTTTGATTTTATGTAGAAAGTACCAAATGGAAAACATCAATGTTGGACATCAAGTACTTCTTTGAAGAAAAAAAAATAGCAGAATTCAATATGATTCTCAGGGTAAAATTGAAGAAAAGACTAGAGCTTAAAATTACATTAGATCAGGCCAGGGTTTCTCTTTAAAAAGAAAAGGGTACCCTTTGAGTACCTCAAAATTAGCAAGCACTTGCTAGACTTTCCACTTAGCTGATTTTTAAAACAGGAGTCTGAGAAGTCAAAATGGCAATGGGCTGACTTTTATATTCTTAACACAGTTGTGATATTTTTCCTGCCAGAAGGACTTTAGTTTCTTATTGGAAAGCACTTTCCAGTTTCTCTTTATAAAGTTGCTTCTGAGAGTTCACGTATTTCCAATTAAGAGTTCAGATTCTTTGATGGAAACTTCATGATTTTAGTGTTGTGGTCCAAAATGATCCAGTTGTAATGACTTTCATTCTAAGGACTAAGAAGTGGCACTTGGGAATCCTCAACATTTCATGAAAGGATAAAGGGACATATGTGAAGAGTGCATGACTCTCCCACTGTTTTTGCCAAAAAAAAATAGCCAGTCTGGGCATCTGGGCATCAGCTGTGATGTGAGGCTCAACTCTTACTTATTAACACATCTTGGAAACATTTTCAATGTTGAGCAATCTGAACTGAAAGATCTCTATATAAAATAGATACCAGAATTCATAGACACTTCACACCTTAAGAGATTTGCATGAGAGGATACGAAAAAATTGATTTTGATTACTCTCCAGAGTCTCAATAACGTTATCAACCAAGGGCAAATCTCCTAGAGTCAGAAGGACTTATGGGGCTGGCAGTGAGACCTTAGGAATGGTGTAGGATTGAGTGCTCTCCGTGTTTTCTGGCTCTAGGGAACCTGCACAAAATCCTCCAACTTGGACTCTGTTTCAAGCTATGTACTGTCTAGATCCAAGAAGTAGTCATCTGTGGTAACTGAAATAATGTAATAAGGACTTAGCATGAAAAGCAAATTTATCCTGTCAGAAGTCATTACCTTGAAGGATATAAGCTGCTAACAAGGCAGCATCAGATGTTTTACAGAGGAGGCGGCCATGGTAGAGATCCCTTTTGATCTGTAGGAAGACTAAATACCTGGAGAGAAAACAGAGAGTGAACTAGAAAAGATTTCTTTGATTGCTTTAAAGACATAAATATGTAATATAAACCTATCAAAATTTTTGTCAGGACACTTTTACTACATTTTTAAAAAATCTCAAAACATACCATAGAAAAAAATGCATTTTTCATTTCCCTAGAGACTCCTTCAAACACTTTGCTTTGAATTGGTTTGAGGTTAAATTCAAAACAACCCGTCCACTTCCCTGGGCAGCTCAAAATATAAATGGCACTTACTGGTAAAAGCCCTGTTGCTCCATCTACCCCCAACCCCTGGCCCCAGTGCTGGGATTTGGAAGGAGCCAGCCTCATCATCCAGTAATGAAAATGAAAACCATGCCATTAGAGATGGACACACTGGGCCTCCTTGTGCCTTTGGAATCGAGTAGACCGGTGGGTGAAGGGACTAACTCAAGAGTTGGGCCTTGGTTTGTTGACAGAATCTGTCCATATGTGGAAACAGCTCATGATTATTGGGACAGGTAAACCAGACCTCTCCAAATACGAATAAATTATAAGAAGAGGAACTGGTGAAGGAAGCATGAAAATCAAACAGAAACCTGTGGCCAACATCTCTTCAAATATATAACCGGGCCTTGGTGGAGGCAGAATAACAAGAACAGGAGCTAATAATGGTAACTGATACATGCTGAGCACTCACTGTCTGCAGGTCCAGGTGTTAGGCACTTAATTAATTTTCTGGTACCAGGGATTGAACCCAGAGGTGCTTAACTACTGAGACACATCCCCAGTCCTTTTTTACTTACAGACAGGGTCTCCCTGAGTTAGACCTCACTAAATTGCTGAGACTGGCCTTGAATTCATGATCCTCCTGCCTCAGCCTCCAGAGCTGCTGGGATTACAGGCATGTGCCACCATGCTCAGCACATACTTTATATTTAATATCTCATTTAATTATTATATAACACTTTGAGACAGGCACTATTGCTAACCCCATTCTTCCAGATAACCTGAGGCATCAGTGTTTCTCTCATGGACACACAACTAAGTAACAAAGACAGAATTCTAATTTGGAGTTGCTGGACTCCTGAACTAGCTCATGTTTTACTGCCCTCCTTGAACTCTAACTGCTTTGTAGTTTCACAAGTAATGGAATGCACACTGTCACAGTGGAATGGAATTGATAACTTCACATTTTGAAATGCCTTTACAAGGGATGTGATCTTGGATGATCATAATCTTCCTAAGAAGAGCAAACCTGTGAGATTAGCAGGTCCGCCAAGCCCTCAAGTGGGTTACCTCTCATGGTGGCCCCTGGCCAGGGAGCCTCTGTGGTATTTTAAAAATACATGCTCAAATGATTTGATATTCCTCATTTCATAAGGTAGAGCTTAATTCTCCGCTTTTTGAGTGTGGATTGGACTTTATGACTCCCTTCTAGCAAAAGAACAAAACAGAAGGGAAAGGTCTGGCTTTTGAGACCGGTTCATGGACTCGTTTAGCTTCCTCCTCACACTTTTTCTTGGATCACTCATTTTGTCTGCCTAAGCTGCTGTACAGAAAGGCCCATGTGGTGAGCAACTGAGGCCTTTTGCCAAAAGCCAGCAAGGAACCGAGGCTTTCTGCCAACAGCCATGTGAGTGCACCATCTTGGAAGAGGATTCTCTAGCCCCAGTCAAGCCTTCAGATGACTGTAGTCCCTGCCAGGCTCATGACTGACCCTGGGCCAGAACCACCCAGCTAAGCCGCTCCTAAATTTCTGACCCACAGAAACTCAGATAATAAATGTTTGTTATTTTAGGCTAGGCTTTGTGGTACTCTTTTAGTTAGCCATAGATCACTGCAGCGTCCCTAGGGAAGTAATGGAAATGTAATGAAATTCCCTTAAAATTCCATCAGTCGGAACCAAAAGAAATTGGGCCTCCCTTAGACTATTGGAGGTTTCCATTGTTTCTGTTTTCAGACTGAAGAAGAAAATAATTCCATATTCTTTATCATGTAAAACTGCTCTTCAGGATATAGTTGCATATCAGCAATATCAGCATCACCTGGGAGCTTGTGGAGACTCAGACTATTAGGTCCGTCCTACACCAGCACTTTTTAACAAGATCCCCAGGTGATTGGTACGTAGATGAAAGCTTATGAAGCAGTGTCCTAAGAAAATTCTAAAGCATCCTCTTACCACATTGGGATGGACCATCTTCCTCAAACCAAAGGGAAGGTGAGAATGGTAGCTTGGACGTTAACAAGAACCTTTTTCCCTCCTCCTACCAAACCCACTCTGCCTGAGTTTGCCAAGAAAAACCGAAGGAAAAAAGAGTAATGCTGAGTGAATAATTAAGATGGATCTACCAAATCAAGCTTGTCTTCACTTTGCTTCCCACAGTGAAATGCCACACGGCGTGTGGGAGACAGCAAGCTAGCACTTCTCTGCCTCTCACTGTTCCAACTCCCACCTTCCCCAGGCTTTGGCAGGATGTGGATGCAAACCTTTTGCCCCTTACTCACTGATCACTCCCCAGGCCTGGATTCAACCACCAATCCTCCCATGCTGTTCTGCTCATCGGTGCCCAATACTCAGGGACAGAACATACTGGACTAAAGGAGATATTTAAAAACAAATCTGGGCAGGCAAAGGAACATCCATCCTCCTGCGGGGAGCTCTTCAGGGTCTGTGTGCAGGGGTGCGATGCTCCCTCACATTGAGAGCTGTGGTCTTGATGGGAGCTTGGCAGGATCTCAGGTCAACCAGAATGGAGACAAGTCTCTGCACCGTTGGGGCCAGGGGTGGTTCCTATTGACTTCTGGTGATAGGACAGCTGTAGGGAGTTCAAGGATAAAGCCTGGTGGCATTCTTCTTCTTCTCTTTTTTGGTACAAGGGATTGAATTCAGGGGCATTTGACCACTGAGCCACATCCCCAGCCCTTTTTTGTATTTTATTTAGACACAGGGTCTCACTGAGTTGCTTAGTACCTTGCTTTTTTCTGAGGCTGGCTTTGAACTCATGATCCTCCTGCCTCAGCCTCCTGAGCCACTGGGATCACAGGCGTGCCCAACCTGGCTCATGGCATTCTTAAGCAAGGGAGGGGAGAGGGAAGGGAGGGAAGGGGAAGGAGGGGCAAGTCCAAATCCTAAAGAAACAAACCACCTTCTTTAGAGGACAAGAAGAAATGAGCTCATGGAAGAATCCACGGATGGCTTCAAGAGACAGTGTGGCACAAGCCTGCCCCTTTCTTTTCTGCCACAGTGACAGGAAACAATGCACAAGGGAACAGAACTGAGACCTCACTCTTATGGAACGAACATTTCAGTGGGGGGAGACAGATAGCTATATGGTAATCAAGGTGATAATGATGAAGACCCACATTTACTGAGTGCATTCTGGGTGCCCCACACTGCACTGTTCTACATGCTCACCCCTATTTATTTATTTTTATTTTTTTTCTTCTTAGTTGTTGATAGATCTTTATTTTATTTATTTATATGTGGTGCTGAGAATCAAATCTAGTGCCTCACACATGCCAGGCAAGTGTGCTACTGCTGAGCCCCAGCCCCAGCCCTGCACACCCCTATTTATATCCAAATATACTTATGGTAACTTTTGAAATAAACATACACTTTTAGAGTTCTGTTGTTTTGAGAAAACAGGTGACTGATTAGAATGTTTGAAAAAAAATACACATTTGTACATATATATGAATGCATATATAAAGGATACATAAGCTTTAGATTATGATTTCCAACTGATTTTAATGCACCTGTATCAATTTCACTGAAATATTCACAGAATTGAAAACTTGGGACTTAATGAGCTAATCCTTAAAACACTTCTATGAGATAACTGCCATTCTTGTTCCCGTTTAATAGACGGGGGAAACTAAGTGCTCATGGATACTGTTGCTTGTCCTGTCTATAAATTAAGAATGATCCAGGATTTGAACCCAGGTCTTTATGATTTCTTAAACCAGGGGTTAGCAAATTATGGCTCACTGCCAGACTTTCCAATGAAATAACATTTTATTTGGATACAGACTTGCTCATTCATTTATGTATTGTCTGAGGCTACTTTCACACTACAATGACACAACTGAATAGCTGCAATGGAGAAGGTATGGCCCCCCCAAAACCAAAATACTTACTATCTGGCCCTTTATAGAAAAAGTTTGCCAATCCATCTTAGCCTAAGCTAGGCTCAAATGATGTTCACTGAAAGAATAATTGACCTAATGACTCCATTTGTTATGGTTTAGATATCAGGTGTCTGTCCCCAAAAAGCTCATGTATGAGATAATTCAAGAAAGTTTAGAGGTAAAATGTTTGGGTTATGAAAGCCTTAACCTAATCAGTGCATCGATCCCCTAATGGAGATTAAATGGATGGTGACCAAAGGTAAGTAGGGTTTGGCTGGGGGCAAGCCTTTGGGGTACATATATTTTGTACCAGTGAATGAAGTAGTGGCTCTCTCTCTGCTTCCTGGTGTGATGTCTTGAGCCATTTTCCTCATCATGACTTTCTGCCATGATGTTCTGCCTTACTTAGGGCCCTGAGGAGTGAGCCAGCCATCTATGGACTAAGACCTCTGAAACTGTGAATGCTAAATACACATTTTCTCCTCTAAAATTGTTCTTGTTAGTTCCTGTTGTCACAGTGGTAAAAAAACTGACTAAAATGCCATTGATGAATGTACACAGTCACTCACTGTATTAAGTCTTTCGAGCCCCTGGTGTGTGGCAGACACTTTGCTTCCCTGTAAGGTGGGGCTCCACTTGTACTCTGTTTCCTTCTATCACTTGATCTTTCCAAAGAGTTTATATACCTGCAGTCCCGGAGAAAGCTAAATCTGGTGCCTAATCCCCCATTTTATCAGTCTTCTCTCCAGCCTAGACAAGAAAATCTATTTATTACTTTTAAAAATGACAAAAGAAATTAATCAGGATTTGGAAACCAAATTTATCCTCTGGGAAGAATCCAAGACATGAATTGAAGTGCAGTTCTTCACTCCCTGCTTCATCCCCTTTTCTCAATCTGGCTTTATAGGAATGGCTGAGATGGCAGTGAAATTTAGGACCGACATTGCCAGGAAAAAAAAAAACACACTGACAGCTAAATTAGTTTGGCAGGAAGGTGGGATAAAGGGATCTAAGCCAGGAATGAATTATGGGTATTGAGTGAGGCTGGGGAAGGTATCTACTCTCTTAAGATCAGTAGGGACGTGAATGAGAAACACAGCTCATTCCATGGCCCTGCAGAATGCCCCAGGGAAGGGGTGACATGAACAACACAAATCAGGGCAAGGCACCCTGTGGTTCATGCCACTGTCAATGCTGGGAAAGAAGGCTGGTAAGGTGAAGAGAGGGGGAAATTGTCCAAGGTGGTTAGCACGCATGCATGCAGATGGGAGAGAAGCTCATAAACCTGCCAGTGTCCAGGTTTGCTGACTTGGTGAGAGGCCTGGCCATGGTCCCAATGCTGCACTTACATGGAGCATGTAATCAATCTAGCAGCAAACACATTGAGCTGTTGCTCGGAGAAAGGCTCACTGGGGGTATATCAAGAAGCAAAATACACTAGTATAGTAGTTAATCCTGCCAACAATCCTAAGAAGAATAGATATTATTAGCCCCATTTTATAAATGAGTTATCCAAAGGTCAGAGAAGTTAAATATCATGTCCGGGCCCAGTAGCCAAAAAAAATAACTTGTTGGACCTGAGCTCCCAGGTTTATTCTGCTTCTTGGGTAGGAGGGTCTGAACATTAATATGAGATAGTGACATTTGATTTGGAAAACTGTATTAAGAACTCCTCCTAAAGACCAGTAGAACCACATATTTTTGTCTTTCAATCAAGGAAAGCCATGTTACTCACTGACAGCTCACAGATTTGCGTTAGATCAATCCTTTTAGCCCCACTGTTGGTTCAGTGAAGTGGAGACCAGGTAATCTGATTTTGGTGTTAGGATGTGAGGAACTGGGCTTTCAACAAGAATATGTTAAGTTTGTTTGGGAAATGTGAACAGGCACACAGGGGTCTCCCCTGGCACCTTCAATGAGGGCTAGGGCTCAGAGTTGAAGTGGACTAGCACTTTAACAAAACTCCCCTCTGGTTAAGTTGTGAAACATAGTGGTTCTGCTCTCATTTACTGTCTGAAGCTACAGGGTTGCTTATTAATATGGATGGGGTTAGTTTTTTTTTTTTTTTTTTTTGTAGTTGTAGATGGACAGAATGCCTTTACTTTATTATTATTATTTTAAAAATTTTTATGTGGTGCTAAGGATCGAACCCAGTGCCTCTTGCATGCTAGCTCTACCACTGAGCTACAGCCCCAGCCCCTGGGGTTAGTTTTTAGACACAAGTGGGAGTCACCCCACTTTTATGAGCATAGGCAGAGCCTGCAGTTTCTATGCCCCACAGGGAGCATGGGGTTTGGTTCTAGCTACTACACACCTCACTATCCTCAGTGCTTTAAAGTAAGTGGGTGCACAGAAAGATCCACAAAGGATCTTTCTGACTCCATCAGAGGAAGATTCCCACAACCCATGCTGGGCGCATGTAAGAAGCCCCTTCCTTCCTTGTGCTACTTATTTTCTTTATACTGCTTCCTGTTCATTGTTCTTTTCTTTTCCATTTCCTGATTTCCTTTCTTAGGGAAACTTTTGCTCTTTTCTCTTTCCCTGGTCTTCTGTTTTGTTTGTTTTGGTTTTGTTTTTTGCACTGGGATTTGAACCGGGGCCTTACACATGCTAGGCAAGTGTTGAACCACTGAGTTGCATCCTCAGCCCTTTTTATTTTATGCTATTTTATTCTGAGACAGGTTTCTTGCAAATTGCCCAGGCTGGCCTTGAACTTGCAATGCTCCTGCTTCAGCCTCCAGAGCAGCTGGGATACGAGGTGTATGCCACCACACCTTTTGCTCTTTTCACCTGATGGAAAGCATGCTCTTCAGAATGGCAATGAAAATAAGTCTATATTATTCCTTTCTTTTTCCCTCTTTCTTTTCTTTGGGATTTTCCTAAGTAGTTTAGGATCCAGAAATAGATCTCCAAGTCTGTGCAGGACAAGCCATTGATATGACAGCAATAGCCTCATTCCTATCTTTGCCATCTCTAAGATTGCAGAGAAGGGATTTGAGCTGTTGGTGCCATCTCTTCCTCAGTTCTACAACTCCCTGGCATTACTCTTCGCCTATGGCCCCCACCAGCTATAGGTAACATCAAGATTTTGCTTATGTCGAAATAAGGACTCCCTGTTATAGAGAGCTCCTGAATCTTTGAGGTGAGAGAGGTGAGACTTTTAGTGTGAATTTGGCTCCGATGTACAAAGTCCTAGGGAAGCTCTGAAGCTCCTATTCACTCACCCTCTTGCAGGATGGTTGTGGGCACACAGGCTCTTTCTCATCCTTGAGTGGTGCTGGACGAGATAGAATTCATGTTATGTAGCTGTCTGCCTGCCTCAGAACATGATCCTCACAATAAAGAGTTTATCACGGACCTGTTCTAATGGCACACCAGAGTTTACACAGTTGGATTTAGAATCTTCCATATTTCCCAGCCTGTCTTTCAATATCAGGCCTTGGCTGTTCCTCCACTAGACTTTTGGAGTCTATCTTCCAAAATAAGAAGCAACCCAGCTTTCTCCAAAAACGTCTAAAGCAGCCACATCATAGGTACCAGAAAGATGCTTTTGATTATTTAGTTCCTCTAGACCCCTTCAGAGTGAGCAGGCAGAGATGAAGTATTCACATTTAAAGGAAGTTCATGCTGCTCTGGTTCCACTGAGGGTGAGCTAAGAAAGAATGTGGCAATGAAATACAGAAGTGGGTTCTTGTAGAAAGGGTTTCTTTCTAAATAGTTCCTTCATAAAGAGTTAGGAGTGTCCACATCAGAGGATCTGAGGTCACAGCCCTTTCTGGCAGGTCTCAGTAGCTGGGGGCAGTGTGTGCAGCCTCACCTTGTTATTTCTTCTTTCAGAGCAGCAGGGTCTGCGGGGTAAAATTTCACACGGAAGCACATGGTGAATGGAGGCTGGGCTGCAGAGAGAAAGGAATCCATTAGAGGAGACCCTCTCTCAGAACATGTCCCCCCAATGTGCTGAGGCTGCTGAACCTCCAGAAGAAAATCCTCAATTAGGGCCAGCTTTTACTCAGAGGAGGGGAAACTTATATATGTAGACTTCTGACATTTGGGAGGCGCGTCCACCCGCCCCAAGGGTGAGGCTTTAGTTTTTTTCATACAGAATACTTACATCTCAGCTGCTTCACAACCGACTTTGTAAACTCCAACCAATGCTGAAACAGAGAACGCAGGACATGAAAACCCTAATGAGAAGCAGTGTCAAGTGTAACTTGTTTTATCCAATTGAAATAACTAGACAGATTATAGCCTGGGGTAAAAGCTGTCCAAAAGCTTGTGAAATATAGGCTTGGAGAGTAAAGAGTGATATGATTTTCTGAAATAAGCGCCCCATGGAGCCAGCTGTGAGGCGGGGAATAGCTCCAGCTTTACATCCCATCTCTGGGCTTCCCTGCAAAGTCTGCCTTCTTTATAAAGCAGGGTGCCAATGTTCTGAGCCATGTTCCTGGCATGCCAGCAGGCATCAATGACCGTACATCTGTGTGGTGGGGACAAAGGCCCACCCGGCCTAAGCAGGGAAATGCTGCGCTCACTGGGTGTTGTGTGTTGGGTACTGAATTTGTTTTTGAGAGGAGTGGGGGGCAAAAGAGTGGGATAGAGGCTATTGGCAGCAACTCTAGAAAGTATTGACAAGAGGAAATTTCATAAATGGAGAGAAGTCAGAGATGGCTGGCATATATTTCCATTTTTGTTTGAATAACATAGATTGCCAAACCTTGTGTTAGAGAACACATACTCATGATTCCTTGGCATACGGGGATGTTTAAAGTCTAAGTTTCATAAGATAATTAACCACAACCAATGTGTAGAATTCTATCCTGTTCCCTGGGATGTTCATAGGATACAGTGGTGATACATTTTTACCCATGCTACTTATGTTTTGGGGAAGGAAGCAACAAGATCATTCTATATCTGTTTCTTAATTCTACATGGGTCCTTCATACAATTTATTATTGATATTTTTTGCTTTTATGCTAAGCAGGTAACTTTTCAATTTGCAGAGGGCTACAACTGCTATTATTTGGGTTTTGGTTGCCCATAAGTAGCTTATGGCCATAGATGTAGGCTCCAGGAGGGCAGGAAACTATCTTAATTACCACCTGTGCCTAGCACAGTGCTCAACACATAGCTGCTAAATGGACAAGGGGACTGGGTCCACGCTTTCCTTTTTTCTGGCTATTTCCCTTTAGTGTAATGTCTTGGCAGAGTCCTCCCTCTGGCAGGAAAGCGGCCAAGGCCATGCAGACGGTATCCTGGCCTCCCTCGATTCCCCGCTCTTACCTTCTGGGCTGGGCTGTGGGTCATGTAGTTAATGGACCCACTAAGAGCCAGTTCGTCCGTCAGCTCTACATGGATAATCTGGGCTGACATTCTGCTCTCTTGCTTCCTCTGATCTGAGTTCCCACGAGGCTGGCAACTCATTATAGCCACTCAATGTGGTTAAGAGGTCCTTCTCACATTACATGGCCCACCGTGGCTCCGCTTCGCAGGGAAGCAAAGGCAAGAGATGAAATTGTACAGAAACAACTGGGGTTCCAGGCTGTGCCTGTGAAGGCGGAGGAGGCCTGTCTGTTCAAAGCACACCGGAACTGTGTACAGTGAAGGAACGTAGCAAATGTCAGGGGCTCAGTAAACAGAACGCCCTAGCCATTAGACTGAGAGATTAAAAGAAATAAACAAAGGAAGATAGAAATTAAAAGGAAGGACTCTGAAAAGGCATTATCAGCAGAGGGCAGAAGGAGCTGAATGACAAAAAGGCAACTCCCCTTGGCAATAGCTGGAGAGAAGACTTTAGCTTGTGTGTAGTGAGAACTCAAGAAAAGACTGAGGCTGGAGGAAGTTAGGAAGGGCTGGGAAGGGAGTGGAAAGCTGTCACAGCCTGTCCAAGGGGTGTTAAGGGTCCAGTGGAGAACTCTGAGGATCCCAAGAATATGATAATGCCCAGAGTTGCTTTTTCAGCTGCCTGGTTAAATCTGGGTCCCAGAATCCCTAGCAAACTAATAATGTTAGGCTCTGGGAGAAAGGATCAGGAGAGGAGGAAAAGAAGATTCACAGAGGGAGGTTTCCTGCTGCATTTGAGTAAATGGGTCACAGTGATACAATCTTCAGACACTGGGACTTTGAAAGGGTGCACTGGAAAGTCAAAGGAAGGCAGAGGCTCTAGGTCTGAGTCAGAAACAATGGGGAAGGGGCATGAGGGCAGCTCCTTCAGGAGAGACAAGGAGAGTTCCAGACATATGGAGACTCCTACTGAGCAAGCAGTGATGTGGGGATGGACCCTAGCGCCAGGTTGTGACTACCTTTATACCCTGGGGAGCTGGGAGCTTACTTCCTTCACCTCCACTATGAATTGACGGAATAGGGTAACTTCTCTTTACCAGTCTGTTTGCCTAAGACCCTCGACGCCCTCTCAAGCCTCTGCCAGCACAGCACCCCCCACCCCCCAGTTGCAGAGTGTACTGCTTGCCACGGCTGCCAGGTGTGATTCCAGTGGGGCATCTGAGAAACCACACAGGCTCTGCATTCAGACAGGTCTGAGCTTGAGACTGGCTTTGCTATTTATCTTGGTTGGGGGTTACTTAACCTGTCAGATACTTCACTGACTCACCTGAAGAATGGGTATCATAATTACAAACACTGGTCCCACTAATCTTAAGGATTACATGAAATAACATATGTGCAGCTCTTAGCTTAGTGCCTGAGACAACTCAGTGTTCAGTGTTCATCAGCTGAAAGGGCCTGGTGTGTGTTCACAGCAGAGCCTGGCACACAGTAGGCATGTCATAAATGTTTAGTCCTCCTCTTTCCCATTTCCTTCTCTCTCTAGCTCTTCTACCTTTTAATCTTTACCACCTCCATGTATGTTCTGATTCTCCTCAAGTACATTCTAGTCTAACTAAAAAACAAACAAACAAACAAATAAATAAATCTACAGGACACATTTTGCCCTTTCTTTTAAAAAATATTTATTTTTTTTTAGTTGTAGGTTGACACAATACCTTTATTTTATTTTATTTTTTAATATGGTGCTGAGGATCAAACCCAATGCCTCACGTATGCTAGGTAACTGCTCCACCTCTGAGCTACAATGCCAGCCCACATTTTGCCCTTTTTGTTTCACACACTAGAACCTCTAGGAAATGAATAGATTTTAGGGTAATGGACCTTCCTTTTTAGGGACAGAAAGCTCGGACCAAACAAACACACACTAGATATAACAAAGCGGTCTACCATTTTATTGTGAATGGCTCCTACAGTAGGGTGAGGGACATGTAGCTTCCTAGTATCAACGTACTTTTTCTGGCCTTCTGCTTAGTCTAGAGCCAAGAAGCGTATTTATGTCATTGAGTGGAGCTTTTATAGAGTGAAGGGTTGACCTCACCACTACTTCCCAAACACTGATGCTGCTCAGAACTCTGGGGGCTGGGAGGAATGAAACACATCAGAGAGAAGCTGGGGCAGGGCTAGTCAAAGGAAAGGGACATGGTCCTTTAGATTCTTTCCTGAAGCTCATGTGTTTAGTACATAACCCTAGATGTAACCTGCAAGACAAAATGGTTCAGGGCATCAAAGAAAAACAGCACAACTTTGACATGGTGAGGGGCATATCCACTCAGTGTCATGACCCCCCCACAGTGTAGAGATCTGCCCCCTGAAGATGGTGGAGACAAACCCCATGTTTGAAGCTGAAGGAACTCCTGGACCCATAAAAGGAGGGCCCTCTGGTATTTGTGATACTGTTTTTTTGGAAAATGGCAGATAAACATGGGTGGTGAGAGGCTGGATGCTTCTGCATATTTTCCCACTTTAATGTGGATGTGAAGAGCACATCCCCACAGACAGCGAAGGGAGGATGAACGGAAATTATAGCAACTGCAGATATGGGCAAGATGGGCAGATGGAAGTGAGAGATAGGGCACTCTAAATCATTAACTCACTCATCCCTTCCTTCTTCAGAAAATGCTCCTTGAGCATCAACAACATTCCCGGCTCTGTGCTGGTTACATGGAAGACAGTGATGAGTAAGATAATCTAAGTCCATGCCCTTGGGGGAACTCACACATTTGCAGGGAACACAGGTAATTGCAGCAAGGTATAGTAAGTACTATGACAGGGCACAGGTCCAGAGAAGGCCCTTAATACAGAGCAGGGTTAGAGAAGACTTCCTGAGGAAGTGAGAGTCCACGGTAAGACCTTAAGTGTGAAATGGAGGTAGCCAGAAGGAAAGTGTGGAGTGCAGAGAAGTGAGGAAAAGGAGAAGCATTTTCCAGCAGCAGAGCTGCAAAGATGAAGGCTCTGGAAAGAAGGCATGGTGCGTCTGGAGAGCCACAGTATTGTCTGGCTTCACTACAGTAGGGAGGAGAAGGTCAGGGGAGGTGAAGCTGGAGATGAAGTAGAGGCTAAGGATAATGGGCTTGTTCCTGTATCTGTCTGGAGCATCACAGTCTTGTCAACGCCTGCTATCTGCAGAACTGCCTTTGTTACACAGAGCAGAGCTGGAACTGCAGGATGTGCAAGGTTCTGAAGGGTCCATGTCAGTCTCTCTGTCCTGCCGAATGGGGTTGACGTGGTGCCTCAGTGAGGCCCTGCCTAACCAGAATATCGAATTACAGTCCATTTACTAGAAAGGGGGCAGGAAAAGCCCACCCAGTGCACTTGGCCCTAAGACCATGACACTATCCCATCTGCTATGCCTCAAACCAGGCTACTTTGGGCAAATCACTTAAGCTCTTTAGGCTGCCATTTCTGCATGTGTAAAATGCCAGGCTTCTCTAGATGAGCCCTAGCTAAGGTGCTTCCAGGTCTAATGCTATGATTTAAAGCAATGGCATTCAAGTGCAGGGTCTGGCTGGTCCCTGACTCCCAAGGCTAAACTCTGAATATGAATAACAATTTAAGAATTCAGGCTTATTAACTGACCTTCTGCTCCCTTTGTGCTTTGAATTTTGACTTACCCGCTGCTTATCTGGGTCCACAAAGCGGATCCCAAAATAGTCTTTCTCAAGTAGGTTCAGGTGGTGGCAAAGAAGGTCAAATAGGTACTGGCCTTTGGCATCTCTCTGAAAAAAAAAAAAAAAAGCAAGCTCCATTGAGAAATGAGTGGTCTTCTTCAGCATGACTTTGTTTTTATAGTCATTAAAAACTGTTTATAGCTGTTGCATATGGAAATAAAGAGGGCACATGTTCACAATTGGGTCCTGCATTAGACATTCTCTGGAATTCTGAGGCTTTCAGCACTTGGAAGGAGCCCAACAACCCCTCCTGCCCCCCATCCCCACCCTGTGTGCTCCCCCCTCCCCCTGCCCTCCCCCACTAAAATGTCAAAGAATTCGGCACAGAGTCAGTAAGCCAAGTTCCAATGTCTAATGCACAAATATCTCTTAAACTGGGAGGAACAGGCAACTTCAGCTTGGAAGAGTTAGTTTCGCTTCTACTTTAGTCTCCCTGTGTACCAGTTTCTAACCCCAGAAGCAACCCAACTTCTTGTGTATCTTTTATGTGATATTTTCTACATAGGCAAACCTATATATGTGGACATCTCCTCTTTTTTTTTTTTCAAACTTTTTCAAACTTTTTTTTTTTTTTTTTTTGGTACTGAGGATTGAACCCAGGGTGCTCAACCACTGATCCACATCCCAGCCATTTTTAATATTTTATTTAGAGACAGGGTCTTGCTGAGTTGCTAAGTGACTCGCTAAGTTGCTAAGCCTGGCTTTGAACTTGAAATCCTCCTGCCTTAGCCTCTCAAGTCACTGGATTTACAGGCATGTGCCACCACACCTGGCATCTTCACACTATTTTTTTTGCAGTGCTGGGGATAGAACCCAGGTCCTCACACATGCTAAGCAAGAGCTCTACCACTCAGCTACATTCCTAGTCCCTCTTTGCAGTAAATCATTATTATTATTATTTATTATGTTGACACTGGGGCACTTTACCACTGAACTACATCCCCAGTCCTTTTAAAAAATTTGTTTTAAGTTTCTCAGGGTCTTGCTAAGTTGCTGAGGCTGGCCTGGGACTTGAGATTCTCCTGTCTCAGCCTCCTCAGTCACTGGGATTATAGGCATGTGCCACCGTGCCTGGCTGCAGCACAATTTTATATTTTACTCTGTTTCTTGTTCTGTTTCCCCCCCCACCCCATTTAGGATATCTTGAAAATCCTTCTATAACAGTGCATACTAACATGCCTCAGACATTATCCAGTTCCACATTGATGGAATTTGTTTTAATCTATTACAAACAATGTGATAGTGAACATTCAGTGATCTTTAATTACACTCCTCACTTCTGTTTCACATTGCCAGGGTCTTTCCATTGCTCTCAGAATAAAGTCCTATCTCTGGTCATGGCCTGTAATGCCCTATGTAGCCTGGCTCCTGCCTTCTCTTTGAGCTCATCCCAAATCATTCTCCTTACTGCATTCTTGCTGTGGCCTGTTCCTGAACACACCAAGGCTTTTCTGCCTGTGTCTTTGTCTTCCCACTGCCTGGCATGCTCTTCCTATAGCTCTTCTTAGCCACTCTTATCCTTGAAGTCTCAGTTCAAAAGCCCCTTCTGCAGAGAGGTCTTCCCCTAAAGGATGGCCTTTCTCTAGCTTTCCATCTCATTATTCTGTTTATGGTCTTCATAGCACTTATAATAGTCTGTAATTACCTTTTTGACTTGTTTACTTATTTGTTGTCTGCTCCTTTTTGAGACTAATTTTCATGAAAATGGGGCCTTTCCCCAGGTCAGCACAGGGCCTGATAGAAGGCAGGAGGAGGTCTTCAATGGTTATTTGTTGAATAAATTATTGAATGAATAGCAGGTAGAAGGTTGGCTACAAGGTTTTACAAAACGTTAAGATGTTAGGTTGTTTATAACCCATAACTTCTACTTCAGAGACCTGCCTGAGTATCTAGGATGACTGGAAGAATGACTTGCAGGGAACTGTCAGAACATCTGAAGGCCTGCAAATCATCCATCTCTAGGCCTGTCCCCCATGACCTCTGTAGTTCCGCTGACTCACTCTGGCCTGTCCATGTCTAACTTTGTATCCAAATTGAGGCCGTCTTATAAGATCCAAAGATCTCACCTGTACCAAGGTGAGATTTATATGTGTACCAGGGCCGTGGTACAGAAGGATCTGGCCTGGTTCCAAGAAACAGGTCTAAAGACATGCCTGTTCATGAAAGGTTTACACCTTCCCTCAGCCTCTTCTGCTGGCTCACCCTACACTATTGAAGGAGAACTAGGGCAGGATACCAAACCTCTCACAAATATCTTAAGAAGCTTATCTTTGCAGGGATGGAAGGATGAGTGGTAGACAGCTCAGCTAAAGGAGGAGGGACCATGTGGGTGCCTCCCTCTCCTGCTGGCTTCACACTTCCTCTGTGTGTGTGGGGGGGGCGGTGGTACCAGGGATTGAACCCAGAGGTACTTAATCACTGAGTTACACCCCCAGCCCTTTTTTGTTTTATTTAGAGACAGTTACACCCCCAGCCCTATTTTGTTTTATTTATTTAGAGTTGCTTAAGGCCTCACTAAATTGCTGAGGCTGGCTTTGAGCTAGTGATCCTCCTGCCTTAGCTTCCAGAGCTGCTGGGATTAGAGGTGTGCATCACCACCCCTGGCTCCCCTCTCTACTTCTGAAGTAGTGGTCCCATTTCCATACCCTTTGGTTTCCCACAAGAAAGAGCTACTCTCAGAGCAGAGATTAGGAATCACATCAGGACTCCCGGGTGTGGGCCACAAACTGGGTCTCACCACTTGCTCACTGATGCCTCAGAGCTTAAACTTGTGTTTAAGGCTCTCTGAGAGTGGAGGAAATATGTTCAACTCTGTCCCACGCAACACATCCTACACTATTATCTCTTTCAGAAAAACGGAAATGGAATTGTACAAAATGCATATTGTGATTATTTTCTTCTACAAATTTTACTTTGCACCAAGCTGGCTACTACATTTGGGATCAGCTAGCATGAATTTTAATGGCTGAAGGAGCTTGCTTCCATCCATACAGCAACCACATTATAGGAGCCTGGGAAATAGCCATGGGGAAACTGCTTCTGTCATGGAAATCACAAGGACTTTTAATAAGAATCCTGCCTTCCACAACTCATTCTCAGGGGCTGGCAGCTCAGATGTACTTGTAAGGCTCTCAGCTGCTTAAGAACCTTAGATTTAGTAGATCCAACTATAGAGTTTTCCCACTTCACAGGAAGAAAATGGAAGCATGACTTTTCTCTTGTAGGAATTAGGAAACAAGAACCTATTCCATTACATATTCCCTGTAGCTATAAAAAGGATCTTTCTCTGGTTATTTCTCAGCATCTGGTGGGTTCCCCTGGTGTGCTCCCCACCATGAGGTCATCATTCCCTCAGGTTCCCATCTGCCTGTGGTAGATGCATGGCTACGAGGCTGTTTTCGTAGACCCATAGAAAGAAGCATCTTCCTTTGCTGTTTCTCCAGGGATAGGGCTGGGTGAAGGGAGTGGGGATAGGAGGTAGAACAGAGCTGCTTCTGGCAGCCCATCTCCATGAAGTTCAAATTTCCAGCCTATACAAAGGCAGAATGACTCAGCACTGTGGAGATACTTTCTACAACATGCCCCTCCCTTGGGGTACTTAACGCCTGTGACTGGAGGGGTGGCCTGAGGTGGACTCTGGGTGGAGTCACTTGCAGCTGGAACATCAACAATAAGCCATTGGCATGAAAAATTTTCGGAATTCTACAACTTCCTGGTCTCAGGAGTCCCCTTGCACTTACAGATGCCAGCTGTGTTCTAAGAGACCCTCCCCATGGCCTCCTATCCCTAAGTTCAGGGGTTTCTGGAATATTCTGTGCAGCCAGTCTTCTCTTTTGGTAGGATGGCAAAGCCCAGGGACTTCTATCTTCTCTTCCCTTTGCCTATAGTTACCCTGGCACTATGGCTACACTGCACTTTGTGTGCTGAATGTTGAGCCATTGATTATACTGCAGAAACAGGCACTGGTACTGACAGGTGATTACTGTTTAGTCACAAAGTCAGAGCTCCATGCCTGAGAACGTTTATCTTCAGGACAAGTGAGCTGAGGCAGAGCACCCAAATCCTTATCCTCCAGTTAAACCTCAGAGCTTATTCTCCTCCCAAGACATTATTGGGTCAAAGTAACTTATATTAAGTACTCAGTTAAAAATAAATTTGAATTTTATGAACCACAACAATACCTACACATATTTGTAACAGTTCAGGTAAGAAAATCCATTTATTCTCTCCATATGATGCACAGAACAATCCCTGAAGCTTTTAGAATCATATTGCAACGGAGGCTGGGAGAATTCTTCTTGCTCTTCCCTGGAATGTGTGATTCTGGTTTTCTATGTTTTGCCTATTCTTGAGCGAAGGGACTGAGGCAGCAAGCAGCAAGCAAGTCTGAGTCAGTGACCTAAACTTTTCAAGGTTAATTGCATTTTCTGCCTCATAATAAATGCCTTTAAGCCAGAGAAGCTTTATTTTAACCCATCATGGATGGAGTCAGGCCCTGGCATGGTGAATCCTAATGAGGGGAGCCAACATGAAGAGAGCCCCCACTCATTAAGCTTCACCTTATCCAATCCCATCTACCTGTGAGGCACACATATTTTAAGTACCAACTAAGTGAGGCTTCGAGGGGACAAGAAGGATTACAGCTTCCTTCACCTTCAGCCACATGCTGTTAAATGGGAGCTGACTGAGGTTTCATGGGCCCCTGGAGAAGGCAGAGATAAAAGGGAGGGATTACAGAAAGTGGGCCCCTGCTGGCCAAAAGTACAAGAGGCCAGGGGTTAAAGAAGACCACATTAGCGCTGGGGTTATGGCTCAGCAGTAGAGCGCTCGTCTAGCATGTGCAGGGCCCTAGATTTGATCTTCAGCATCACATAAAAATAAATAAATAAAAAATAAAGGTATTGTGTTCAACTACAACTAAAAATAAAAATATTTAAAAAAAGAAGACCACATTAAGATAAGGGGGCTTAGAAGAGAGGCAAGAGCTGAAGTTGTCCTCTGAAGTCTGACAGGGAAAAAAGATTGGCACTCAGGGGCTGGGGATGTGG